GGTGACTGAGTAGATGGAATGCAGTGTCTTCATGAAATATTTATTGTCTGTAATCCTTTTCCTAAACTTAAGAAATTATGAAAACCAGGGGTGCCTGGGTGGCTCAGTCGGTTAATCGTCCGACTTCAGCTCAGGTCATGATCTCATGGTTTGTGGGTTTGAGCCCCGTGTTGGGCTCTGTGCTGACAGCTAGCTCAGAGACTGGAGCCTGCTTTGGATTCTGTATCTCCCTCTCTCTGACCCTCCCTTGCTCACACTGTCTTTCTCTCTCTCAGAAATAAATAAAAAAACATTAAAAAAAAGAAATTATGAAAATCAAAACTCTTCCATAACTCATTTGATGCCAAAACCTAATTTGACTGGAACTTATTTTGTGGCAGACCTAAACTTACATGAGATTGTTTATAGTTTCATTGATTCCCCCTTTCATTTATCCCCATATGAGTATTTATGTCTCATTGAAGAAAAATTAGTTTGATTACAGGGTGTCCCAGGCCCCATTGGGATTGTTGCCTTATATGTTCTATCTGCACCATATTACCTTTCTAAAATCCAAAAATATTCTGTAGCACATTTACTATCCAGATTGTCCACCCCATTTACTCAACAGTATTGGCCTGAGTTCTTTTGGCTATTTGCATAAATCAGATCCACCTGCAGATAATGAATATTCATTGCATTGTGTGCTATAGACTCTGAAGATGGTTCTTTTTTTTTTTTTAATATTTTATTTTTAAATAATCTCTACACCTAATGTGGGGCTCAAATTTACAACCTCAAGATCAAGAGTCACATACTCTACCCCCTGAGCCAGGCTGGCACACATTAAAGATGATTCTTTTTTTTTTTAATGTTTTATTTATTTTTGACAGAGAGAGAGAGACAGTGTGAACAGGGGAGAGTCAGAGAAAGAGGGACATACAGAATCTGAAACAGGCTCCAGGCTCTGAGCTAGCTATCAGCACAGAGCCTGACACGGGGCTCGAACCCACGAACCGTGGGATCATGCCCTGAGCCAAAGTTGGACCCTAAAGATGATTCTTAAAGTGTTTTTGAGCAGTGTCATGATTAAAATAAGACTGAAATCTTCTTCAGTGACTACCTTGAAGTGACAGAACTTATTTGGATGGTAACTTATCATGTGTTTAGGGACAATAAAGTCTCATTATTGTATATCTCCTTTGCACATGTTTTTTGTTTTTTTATTTTTTTAAGTTTATTTATTTATTTTGAGAGTGGGGAAAGGGGCCGAGACAGAGGGAGAGAGAGAATCCCAAACAGGTTCCATGCTGTCAGTGCAGGGCCTGACAAGAGGCTCAATCTCACAAACCGTGAGATCATCACCTGAGCTGAAATCAAGAGTCAAGTGCCCAACTGACTGAGCCACCCAGGCACACCCCCCCCTTCCTTTGCCCATGTTAAAAGTCAATGGTCAGTGATCTCCTGGCATTAGTTCCCAAATCTGGAATTAGTTCCTTTGTTCTCTGGGCTTTATTCAAAACCAAAGAATGAACTCTGCATGGTGGGGATTTGGGGCCTGGTAGAAGTCAATGCGTGTGTGTGTGCACATGTTTATTTTTTAAAACTTTTGGATTTACAGAAAAATTGAGAAGATAGGATAGGGAGTTCCCATATACCCCACATCCAGTTTCTACCATCATTGCCTTATATCAGCATGTTGCATTTGCTACTATTAATGAACCAGTATTCATACATTATTCTTTTAATTTTTTGATGTTTTTATTTATTTTTGAGACAGAGAGAAAGCAGGAGCTGGGGAGGGGCAGAGAGAGACAGAGACAGGAAACCAAAGTGGGCTCCATGCTGATGGCAGACAGCCTGACGTGGGGCTCAAACCCGTGCATGAGCTGTGATATGGTGACCTGAGCCACCCAGGCATCCCCATACATGGTTATTAATAAAAAGTCTATGGTTTATTCAGATATTCTGAGTTTTCAACTAAATTTTTTTTCTATTCCAGGATTCCATCCATGATACCATATTACATTTTGTTCTTATGTCTACTTAGGCTCTTCTTGGTGTTACAGGTTCTCAGTCTTTCCTTGTTTTTGATGACCTTGATAATTTTGAGGAGCACTAGTCAGATATTTTATAGTTTGACCCTCTATTGGAATTTGTTTAATGCTCTTATGATTAGGTTAATTTTATGGGTTTGGGGGGAGAGGAAAACCATAAACATAAAATGCCATTTTCATCGCATGACATCAAGAATACATAGTATCAGTGTGATTTATTACTGTTGATATTGACCTCTCCAGATCAGCCAAGGGAGTGTGTGTGAGAGAGATACAGGATTACTATTGCAGTAGCAGTAGCCTAGACTTTTTATTTAATTAAAAATTTTTTTTTAAATTTTAATGTTTTATTTTATTTTTGAGACAGAAAGACAGAGCATGAGAAGGGGAGGGGCAGAGAGAGAGGGAGACACAGAATCTGAAGTGGGCTCCAGGCTCTGAGCCATCAGCACAGAGCCCGACGCGGGGCTTGAACCCATGAACTGCGAGATCATGACCTGCTCTGAAGTCGGAGGCTTAACCGACTGAACCAGCCAGGTGCCCCTAAATATTTTTTTATATTTATTTATTTTTGAGAGAGAGAGAGACAATGAGCAAGGGAGGGGCAGAGAGAGAGGGAGACACAGAATCCGAAGCAGCCTCCAGGCTCTTAGCGTCAGCACAGAGCCCAAAGCGGGGCCTGAACTCACAAGCCCTGAGATCATGACCTGAGCTGAAGTTGGACTCCCAACTGACCATCCACCCAGGTGCCCCTAGACTTTTCCTTTTGAGGATGCAATTTCTTCTTTTGCCCATAGCTCAGACCCATTTTGACCTTTTTAGAAAGTTTATTTACTTATTTTTGAGAGAGAGAGAGAGAGAGAGAGTGAATGGGGTAGGGGCAGAGAGAGAGAGGGGAGAGAAAGAATCCCAAGCAGGTCACACTATCAGCACAGAGCCCGATGTAGGGCTCAAACTCATAAACTGTGAGATGACCTGAGCCGAAATCAAGAGTTGCACACCCAACCGACTGAGCCCTCAGGCATCCCGACTCATTTTGACTTATAAAAAATACCTTGTTTTGGGATATATCTGTATCTATATCTATATCTATCTATATATTGTTTTGAAAGTTTGAACCTTCCCCTGCAGTAACCTCCTTTCCAAATTTCCTCTCCACTCACTAGACTCCATCATCTCTAATGCTCCTACCCACCACTATCAGATTCTCTAAAAAAATAAGATGCTTCAATTTCTATTAACATTCACTGATTACCTGTTTATGTGCCAGGCACTCTTCTAGGGCCTCACACTGTGTTAAATCATGTAATGGGAAGCAGCTTGTTGCATAGAAATAACTCAGTCTTTGGGTAAGACTTGGGTTGAAACTGCAGCCCAGCCCAAATAACTATGCAATCTTAGGCAGGCTCTTTGACTTAGCCTCGGCTTCTTCAGTGGAGAGCTTTGTCTCACAAGACGCCTTAAGGAATAAAAATCTTTCTCTTAATCTTCACATTCATTTGATTTCCAGCCACCATGGGTGCCTGGCTGGCTTAGTCTAAAGAGCAGGCGACTCTAGATCTTAGGGTCCAGTTTGAGCCCTATGTTGGGGGTAGAGATTACTGAAAACAAAAACAACAATAACAACAACTTTTAAAAAACCCTCAAAACCTTTTGCCTACATTTTATTTTTTAAAGTTTATTTATTTATTTATTGGGGCATCTGGGTGGCTCAGTCAGTTGAGCATCTGACTTGGCTCAAATCATGATCTCAGAGTTCATGGTTTTGAGCCCCCATCAGACTTTGTGCTGGCAGCATGGAGCCTGCTTTGGATTCTCTGTATCCCTCTCTCTCTCTGCCCCTACCTTACTTGCACTCTCTCTCTCTCTCTCTCTCTCAAGAATAAACACTAAAACAATTTTAATGTTTATTTATTTTTGGGGGTGCCTGGGTGGCTCAGTCAGTTGGGTGGCTGACTTCAACTCAGGTCTTTATTTCCTGGTTCATGGGTTAGAACCCCACACCAGGCTCTGTGCTCAGAACCTGGAGCCTGTTTAGGATTCTGTGTCTCCCACTCTCTCATTCCACCCCCGACTTGTGTTCTCTCTCTCTCTCTCTCAGAAATAAAAAATAAACATTAAAATTTTTTAAATTAAAAACTTATTTATTTTTGTAATCTCTACTCCCAATCTGGGGATGGAACTCACCACCCAGAGATCAAGAGCACTCTTCCCACTGAGCCAGCCAGACACTCTCCCCACCCCCTGCCTACCTTTTTGAATAATGTTTATTCCCATAAAACACTGACATAATTTTTTGTGTGACTTGTTTTAAATTATCTAGGACTTTGGAGGACACATGGTCTTACTTAAAAAAAATTGTCCTGTCAGAACCCTACTTATAAAGAGGTCTCAAGGGTAAGTTACCCATAACAAAAAGATCGTGTAAAAAGGAAAGAAAGACGGGGCGCCTAGGAGGCTCAGTCAATTAAGCTTCCGACTTTGGCTCAGGTCGTGATCTCAGGGGTTCGTGGGTTGGAGCCCTGAGTCAGGCTCTGTGCTGACAACTTGGAGCCTGGAGCCTGCTTCAGATTCTTTGTCTCCCTCCCTCTCTGCCCCTCCTCCATTTGTGCGCGCTCTCTCGCTCTCTCTCTTCTCTCTCTCTCTCTCTCTCAAAAGTAAATAAACATTAAAAAAAAATTTTTAAAAAGGAAAGAAAGACTACAGAAAGAATTTCTGAGAATTTTGAGGGAAATATCAAATTTGGTAGAGGCCTCGCCCATTCTGATTTTCTATTGGTTAAGCTTACCATCAATTGCACCAGCTGTAAATAAAGTGGAGACGGAAGCATGTTGTTTGGGGGTGGGATCTTCCTGTCGCCATTGCTAACGTTAGGGTCCGTCTTCTGATAGGCTGAGAGCTGCTTTTCCCGCCCACTCGCAGCAGTTGCTAAGAGGCGGGATTATAGAGTCCGTAAAGGACGGAATGCTCGAGGCTCCGCCCATCCGATTGGTTGATAGGGGGCAGGTCTTGCAGTGGATAGGCTGCTGGCCTTGCCTGTTCCGGCCAGTTGCTGGGGAGAGGCACGTGAAGAGGAGGCGGCTTGAGGCGACCACGGCGGGAGGAATGAAAGTGGCGGTCTCACCGGCAGTTGGTGCCGGGCCGGGGGGCTGGAGGGCTGGAGGCAATGGGGGCGGTGGGGCAGTGCGGCTGCTCCTCGTGCTCTCCGGCTGCTTGGCCTGCGGCTCAGGTACCCCCGGGACAGCAGCTGTCGTGGGGGCGGGTGCTGAGGGGATTATATTTAGAAAAGTGGGGAGTGTCCCCAGGGTGTGGACCGTTATTCTGCAGTGGGGTGCGGGCGTGGGGCGGAGGAAGCAGCTTCGTTTGCAGTGAGAGGTTAGGGTCTTGTGGAGGCCTGGGGGAGCTACCCAGAGTGGGGAGGAGGCTGGAGCCTTTTGGCCGAGACGTGAACGGTGGCCTGGACTGGGTGAGGAGCGGTCCTGGGGCTGCGTCGCGCTGAACAGGCCTAGATTTTCCTGATTAAGAGTAAGGGGACCCCAGTACCATTCCTGGCAGGCCGAGCTGCCACTGGAAAGGGGACATTCCATTCATTCAGCAAATTAGCAACACCTTCTAGGCGTATGCTCTGTCAGGACTCAGGTGGCTGAACGGATAATTTTAATTCACCGAAATGGATTGATTTCTGTCTTATGTCTTCTTACGTTCTTATAAGATCCGGCCCTATAGGAAGGACCTGGCGCCGTTAATTCGCGTTTCCAAAAAGTAAAAGATAAAATACCATTCACCATCAGATAGGCTTTTTTTTGGAAGTTGATTGTTTAAAAATTTTTTTTTAATGTTTAATTTATTTCTGAGAGGGAGAGAGAGAGACAGCGTGGGCAGGGGAGGGTCAGAGAGAGGGAGATACAGAATCTGAAGCAGGCTTCAGGCTCCGAGCTAGCTGTCAGCACAGAGCCCGACCTGGAGCTCGAAACCACAAAAGTATGAGATCATGACCTGAGCCAAAGTCGGAAGCTTAACCGACTGAGCCACCCAGGCGCCCCTCTTTTGGAAGTTTATTCGCTTTTGAAGCAAACATTGGTATCTACCTATGGTTGGATAATTGGCTTTGGACTCAAACTGAACTGTTTACCTTTTCTGCTCTAATTCATAAAACCTAGCATTTTCTTAAAAAAAAAAAAAAACCCACCTCCTTCTACCCTCTTATCAAACGCACAACAGAAAAATAAGCAAGGTTTCCAAGTTCTACTGGAGAGCGTTGAAACTCACGCGGTTAAGGATAATCATATCTTGTAAACACATTATGCTCTCACTTCTCCCTTCCTTTGCTGCCTATCTCAGGCTGTCACAATTATCCTTAGCTGCAGCTTTAAGGGTGTCTCAGGATACATGGATGTAGTTCCAAATTGTAACGTCCTCCTGAACTCCTTTTTTGGGGGGGAGACGGAGGTATCCAGGAAGGTACTTTTCCAGAGCAGGGGCCCAGAGTAACATTTGAAGGGCTACTTATTATTTTTTAAGTTTTAAGAGTGCAGAGGATTTTTTAAAATGTTTATTTACTTGTGAGAAAGAGTGAGCGAGAGAGGGGGACAGAGGATTTGAAGGGGTTCTGCCGACAGCTAATGAGCTGTGAGATCGTGACCTAAGCCCGAGTCTGACGCTCAACGGACTGAGCCACCCAGGTGCCCTGAAGGGCTACATATGATCTGAATGAACTTGGGTCACATGGTTAACCTCTAAAATGGGGTTATGGATTGTTTCTGTGAAAGAGAAAATATATGCAAAAATGTTTCTGCCTAGTCAGGATTCAAACAGCACTATTTCTTTATTGAGAAGAACAGGAGCTTCTTAGCTTGGAGAAGGGTGAATTTGGGATGATATTCTGCGTGGCCTGGTAGATCATGTGGGTGGCAGCTACAAAGAGACAATCAAGTTATAGACAAGAATTTTCTAAAAGTCAGAGGCACTTAAAGACAAAATACAGTACTTCAAAAGGTAGAAAGTTTTTTCTCATTCTGATTATAAAAATAATGTGAGTTTATTTTAGACTATTTGGCATGAACAATTAAGTATAAAGAAGTAGAGAAAACCCTCACTCTTTATTCCATTCAGAGGCAATCCATTTTAGCCTGGTAGTTTTCCCCATGTTTTTAATAAAATTTTGGGGGCACCTGGCTGGCTTAGTTGGTAGAGCATGCCACCCTTGATCCCGAGGTTGCAGGTTTGAGCCTCACTTTGGATGGAGAGATTACTTAAAAGATTGATTGATTATTATTTTTTAAATTAATTTTTAAAAATTTACATCCAAATTAGTTAGCACATAGTCCAAGAGTAGGTTCCTTAATGCCCCTTACCCATGTAGCCCATCCCCCCCCACAACCCCTCCAGTAACCCTCTGTTTGTTCTCCATATTTAAGAGTCTCTTGTTTTTGTCCCCTCCCTGTTTTTATATTATTTTTGCTTCCCTTACGTTCATTTGTTTTGTATCTTAAAGTCCTCATAGGAGTGAAGTTCTATGATATTTGTCTTTCTCTGACTAATTTCGCTTAGCATGGTACCCTCTAGTTTCAACCACGTAGTTGCAAATGGTAAGATTTCATTCTTTTTGATTGCTGAGTAATACTCCATTGTATATACCACATCTTCCTTTAAAAATCTTTTTTAACGTTTTATTTATTTCTGAGAGACAGTGTGAGCAGGGGAGGATCAAAGAGAGAGAGGGAGACACAGAATCTGAAACAGGCTCCAGCTCTGAGCTAGCTGTCAGCACTGAGCCCGACGTAGGGCTCAAACCCATGAACCGTGAGATCATGACCTGAGCCACCCAGGCACCCCAATGTCTTCTTTATCCATTCATCCATTGATGGACGTTTGGGCTCTTTCCGTACTTTGGCTATTGTTGATAGTGCTGCTGTAAACATTGGGGTGCCAGTGTCCATTTGAAACAGCACATCTTTATCCTTTGGATAAATACCTAGTAGTGCATTTGCTGGGTTGTGGGGTACTTAAAATCTTTAAAAAAGTTTTTTTGAATTGGTAATATATTCATACACCTGTCAGCAATCCAGTTCTCTTCCCTGAAGCCCACCAGTTATTACTAGAGATAGTTTTCTTAATTGTTTTGTACCATAAAACATTTTTGTGTCATTTAAAATTCTTCATAATTGTTATTTTTATTTGTATTCTGTTCTTTGGACAGACCATTTACTTAATGTTTCTGAACTTAACATTTAGTTGGATATTTGTGGTGTTTCTAGTTTTTCTTTGTTGTAGATAACACTTTGTGAACATTTTTGCGTATAAATTTTTTACTGATTATATTTTTAGGATAGATTCTCAGATTTATTAGATCAAAAGCTAAAACATATTTAAGACCCTTGAAACATCTTGCTGAAATATTTTCCTGAAAAGTTGTACCGGTTTCAGGTACAACTGTGAAAACACCACTATCAGCACTATTTGCTTGTGACCCATATGCTTGCCAGCTTTGGATATTCTAGACTATAACATCTTTGCTAATTTGATAGATCAAAAGTAGTGTCGGGGCACCTGGGTGACTCAGTTGGTTGAGTGTTCGATTTAGTGTCCGTCTCTTGATTTTGGCTGAGGTCTTGATCTCATGGTTTCTGAGATGAAGCTCTGCACTGGCACACTTGGGATTCTCTTTCTCTCGGCCTCTCCCCCCCCTTCAAAATCAGTAAATAAACATTAAGAAAAAGTAGTCATGTCCCAAAAAGAGACAAAATATTTTTAAAAAGTGTCTTATTTTTCTTTGCATGTTTTTAAGTTTATTTATTTATTTAGAAAGGGAGAGAGCATTTGTGGGAGGGGTAGAGAGAGAGAGAGAGAGGGAGGAGAGAGAATGAATCCCAAGCAGGCTCCGTATTGTCAATGGGGAGCTTCATGCAGAGCTCGAACCCAGGAACCAAGAGATCATGACCTGAGCCTAAATCAAGAATCGGACACTTCACTGAGCCACCCAGGTGCCCCAAGGGTATATATTTTTTTATAATATATTTATTTATTGAAAATTTTCTTTAATTTGCTTGCTGTCTTTTACTTTTTTTTTTTATTGAAGTATAGTTGTCATACAGTGTAATATTAGTTTCAAGTATATAACATAGGCACCTGGGTGGCTCAGCTGATTAAACATCTGACTCTTGATTTTGGCTCCAGTCACGATCACATGGTTCATGAGTTCGAGCTGTGCATTGGACTCTGTGCTGACAGTGTGGAGCCTGCTTGGAATTTCTCTCTCCCTCTCTCTCTCTGCCCCTTGACAACTTGCTCTCTCTCTCAAAAAAAAAAAAAAATACATGAATAAACATAAAAAAAAGAATACAACATAGTGATTTGACAAATCTGTACATTACACAATGTTTACCGCAATAAGTGTAGATCCCTTTTACCTTTTTAAATATATTTGTATTTTTATGTAGTCGCTTCATTTTATTCTTATTTCCATAGCTTTTATGCTTAAAGAGCCCTCCAAAATTGAATTTATATCATTTTTTATGGTATACTTTAATTTTTTTTAATCTATAATTAATGTTAGGATTTGGTGTGAGGTGAGGCTTTAGATAGATTTTATTTTCCAAATAACCAGTTGTCCCAGCATCCCATTGAATGATTCTTTGCTAAGTGCACTGTTTAAGATGCTTATTTTTAAGAAGGCTTTTAAGTATAAACTAAGTTAAGAAATGAACAGAGGCTATTTAAGAAATTGCTTTTCGGGGTGCCTGGGTGGCTTAGCCGGTTAAGCATCCGACTTTGGCTCAGGTCATGATCTCACAGTTTGTGAGTTCGGCCTCCCATCAGGCTCTGTGCTGACAGCTCGGAGCCTGGAACCTGCTTCATACTCTGTCTCCTTCTCTCTCTGCCCCTCCCTCACTTGTGCTCTGTCTCTCTCTGTCTCACAAAAATAAATAAATGTAAAAAATAAATAAATAAAAGAAATTGTTTTTCATGACTATTTAGGGTCTATTCCAGTCCTCACATATTATGAATCATTTTCATTGATTCTGCCTGTGGATGTTAAGTGATCAGTGCTGTTGATTAAAGGATTGTAAGCAAGTATAAAGTTATTAACCTTTGAATAGCTGCTTTAATTGCAATATTTAATTGCTTTAAGTGCAATAAGCAAGTTATGATTCACTACATTCCATGAAGGCATTTTCCAAAATCTTTGGGCTCAAAAGCATTTTCTTGAATGTTTTATTCATTCTACTTTTTTTTTTTTTTTAAACTTTTTTAATGTTTTATTTATTTCTAGGAGACAGAGAGAGACAGCGTGAGCAGGGGAGGGTCAGAGAGAGAGGGAGTCACAGACTGAAACAGGCTCCAGGCTCTGAGCTGGCAGTCAGCACAGAGCCTGACGCGGGGCTCGAACCCACGAACCGCGAGATCATGACCTAAGCGTATTCATTCTACTTTTTAACATACTGGCCAACTCACTTAGGCGGGGAGAGGAAGAAAGGTGGTGTATATCGTTTTGCTACAGGAAGCACAACATTTTAAATGAGCATTTTGACAACTTATATATATTTAAGGTCGTTTGGTTTAGTTCTGTGTTGCTAACAATTTAAGCTATAGCTGGAGTGGTGATTGTTCTACAAATTAGCCGTTTTGGCTGAATTGGTATAGTTCACCTCTCAATGAGTTTCCAAAGATGTGGCTGACCAAGGTGCTGATTTCCACAGGAGGTTGCTATTCAAGGCATTTATTTACTTAATTAAAATTCTTTCCCTTGAATGTTATGTAACTTGGGAAAAGGAAGAACTAGATTTTAAAAGATGTTGCTGGTTATAAAATAATTTTATTTATTTAGGAAAATGGTGTCAGAATTTTAAAATTCGTTTCAAAACAATAATGCCTTTTCTTGGCATTAAATTTTTCAAACTCCCTGTGCTGTTGACATTATTTGTATCTTCTATCTTCTTGAAAAGAATAGTGGGCTTAAAAAGGTGTAGTGTTCTATTACTTGGTGCTGTGGGAGAGAAGGGAGTAACAAGTGTGACTCTTGCTTTTGTTTTTTTATTGGACAGGTGCATATTTCCACTTCAGACTTTGTACATAGACTGGATATTCTTTTAAGGAAGTGTCAGGTTCTTGTTCAACAACATTTTTTAATTTTAATTTAATTTTATTTTAATTAAAAAAAATTTTTTTTAATGTTTTATTTATTTCTAGGAGAGAAAAAAGAGAGACAACGTGAGCAGGGGAGGGTCAGAGAGAGAGGGAGTCACAGACTGAAACAGGCTCCAGGCTCTGAGCTGGCAGTCAGCACAGAGCCTGACGCGGGGCTCGAACCCACAAACCGCGAGATCATGACCTAAGCGAAAGTCGGACGCTTAACCGACTAAGCCACCCAGGTGCCCCGTCAACAACATTTTTTTAAAAAATGGTGCCCAATGTATTTGTATGCCTCCATGAATTTCTCAGGACAGTAGTTTTAGCATTCACATAACCTTACTTATACTCTCCAGGAGAAGATAAACATTTTTTTAAAAAGTTTCATTTATTTATGTAATCTCTACACGCAACGTGGGGCTCAAACTCACAATCCCAAGATCAAAGGTTGCATGTTCTTCTGACTGAGCCAAGTGAATAAACTCTTGAACCATATTTGTGAGTGGATATTCTTTCAGTACATTTATGTGCTTGCTAGTGAGACAAATGTCAACAGGATTTGGAAAAGGTTTCACTTTATGAAAGATAGGCTAGGAGGAAATCCCAGTTACTACTGGATTAAACCGTAGTGAGAAACTGACAGATGGGAGCGGGGGTTTAGGGCATGCTACCCCAAGATGTAGTATCTTGGCATATTATATATTTTAAGCTGAGGGAGTTTAAGAAAACACAGGAGCAGGAAGGTCTCTTTGACCTCCCCACCTTATCCTTCTCTGAAACAGACCATAAAATCTTGTGAGAGGTGCCCTCCCTCTCTCCTTATACGTTGAGGAATTTAAGACACAGAGGCATTTGAGAGGAATCTAAGCAAGTTTACTACAATTGCCACATACCCTTTACCATATTCCTTCATAGCTGTCCACATTTTATCAAACATAGCATAAAAGTACATAGGTCTAACTGTTTCTTTGGGTCTTCATTTCCTTACGAAGGCTTTTGTGTCACGTTAAACTTTTATTAAATGTGTATGCTTTTCCGTTGTTAATCTGTATCAGTTTAAAATTTCAGACCCAGCCAGGGACCCTAAGAGGATCAAGGAAAACTTTTTCTTTCCTTACAATATTAAGATTGAATTTTTAAGAAAATTGAGATGTAACTCATGTATAATAAAATTCACCCTTTCAGTGGTTTTTAGTATATTTACAAGGTTGTGCATCCATCATCATTGGCTAATTCCAGAATATTTTCATCACTCCAAAATGAAACCCCATATGTCTTAGCAGTCACTCCCCATTCACTTCTGCTCCTGGCAGCCACTAACATCTATTTTCTTTTTCTGTGGATTTGCCTATTCTGGACATTTCACATAAGTGGAATCATTCGATATATGGTCTTTTTGATCTGGTTTCTTTCCTTCAGAATGATATTTTCAGGGTTCATCCATCTTGTAGTATGTATCAGTACTTCCTTTTATGGTTAAATAATATTCCACTGAACAGGTGGGTCTATCATATTTTGTTTTATCCATCAGTTCATAAGTTGATGGACATTTGCATTGTTTCCACTTTTTAGTTATTTATGGATATTACTACTATGAACATTCATGTACAAGTTTTTGAGTGAACATGTTTTCAGTTTTCTTGGATATATACATAGGAGTGGAAATGCTAGATCATACAATAACTCTATGTTTAACTTTTTGAGAAACTGCCAAACTGTTTGCCAAAGAGGATGCACCATTTTACATTCCCAGCAGCAATGTTTGAGTGTTCTAGTTTCTCACATCCTGCCCAACCCTTGTTATTGTCCTCTTTGATTTTAGCCTTCCTAGTGAGTGGAAAGTGGTATTTCATTGTGATTTTGACTTGTAGTTCCCTGATGACTAATGATGTTGAACATCTTTTCATATGCTTATTGGCCATTATTTATATCTCCTTTAGAGAAATGTCTATCCAGATCCGTTGGCCATTTTTACAGTTGAGTTGTTTCTTTTTTATTGCTGAGTTGTAGAATTCTTTATATATTATGGATTGTAGACCTTTATCAGATATATGATTTGCAAATATTTTCTCCCATTTTGTGCGTTAATCTGTTTACTTTCTTCAAGGTCCTTTGAAACACAAAGTTTTAAATTTTTATGCACTCTGATTCATCTGTTTTTTCTTTGGTTGCTTATGCTTTCATGTCATATCTAAGAAACCATTGCCTAGAGTGGTCATGACGATCCACCCCTGTGTTTTTTTCTAAGAGTTTTATAACTTTTGCTCTTATGTTTAGGTTTAAGATTAAATTTAACTTCAAAATTGTCTCTAGCTTCAACTAAAACCATTTTGGACTGGCAGGCATCCTTGCCTTTTTTGTGCGTATAACTTTGCTTTCTTAAGGTTTTGTTTTGTTTTTTAGTTTATTTAAATCTATCGATCTTTATACCTAGATCAAAGTGATAACTGCATTTCCACTTAGAGTAGCCCTTAATAAGTTGGTAAGTACAATATAGAACTCAAGGAAAAAGTTATTTAACTGTTTTGTGGTAAAGAAGGTAGCTCGTACAAACTTGGGTGGAAAGGTATGAGAAAGTGGTCATTTGTAAGCCTTGAGATTGAATACAAACTTCTGAATGGAGAATCTTCTATCTTGGCAAAATGAGAGGGACTGCATACGTTAATTGACTGCTCATAAAATTTGAAACAAAACAGCTGGAAAAACGTGATTTTGTGATCTTTCAGCATCTTCTTAAAGTACTATATATGCAAAAACATTGCCAAGTCTGTTCATCCTATTCAGGAGATAGGGAAAATAAATAGATGGGGTTACTTTAACTCTGCCTTTATAAGGGAAGCAGAACCTGGGTGTGAATGTCAGTTAAGCTATTCACTAGCTGTATGACTTTGGGCAAATTGCTTAATCCTTCTAAGCATCAAGTTTTTTATTTGTGAAACAACAATCATGAGAGTGCCTGCCTCATAGAATTGTTGGAGAGTTAAATGAAAGACAACATACTGTCTTAATAAACGCTTAATAGTAGCTTCTATTACTGCTTATTCTGGGTTAGTTGCTATTTATAACATTTAAATGATTAAATTTAATGGAAATAAGACTGCCTTGTTTCTTGTTTCAGTTTTCTTTTTTTTATTAATTTTTTAAATGTTTGTTTATTTTTGAGAGAGAGAGAGCGAGCATGTGCACAAGTGGGGAGAGGGGCAGAGAGAGAGGCAGACACAGAATCCATAGCAGGCTCTAGGCTCTGAGCTGTCAGCACAGAATCCTACATGGGGCTCCAACCCATGAACTGTGAGATTATGACCTGAACCAAAGTCAGCCACCCAACCAATTGAGCCACCCAGGCACCCCTCTTGTTTCAGTTTTCTTGTTTCTCAATCACTGACATTTTAACCTTAACCTTAAGAAATTGGTTTGTTTCACTGGTATTGTAATAGCATCATAGTGTAACAGATGGTAGCTACACTTGTGGTGAGCATAGCATAAGGCATAGCTATGCTCCTGGAATCACTGTATTGTACACCTGATACTAATGTAACATTGTATGTCAGCTATACTTCAATTTAAAAAAATAGTGATTGGTTTAATTCTTTTTATGTAATGGGTTGTAGTTATTAGCTTGTTCTGTTATCCTAATCTTTATTTCCTTTCTTTGCATAAAGCTGGAATTGACATAAACGTGGTCATGCTTAAGGAATCCCAAGTTTATAATATGAGTGACAGGCAACAGTTCTGTTATAAAAATGTGCTTATCCCCAAGTGGCATGATGTGTGGACACGGATACAGGTAATAATTTGGAGGCCCCTGGCTGGGGCAGCTTCTGTGAATATCTGTCTGTGATTAGGGAGTACTTTGACACATTTTCCCCCTTCACACACAATTGGAAAAGAAGTATTGTCAACAACCTTGTTAGGGCTCAGATTATCCTCAGTTGTGTTTTCATCAGTACGCATTCATGCTTGCTTTGTGTTCCTCTATCTTTGTTCCCTTAAGTAACTTAAAATACTTGACCCTGAAGTAACCTCCTTCCTCTTTTTCCCAAAGAAGCTTTCTTCTCTTCCTCCCTGTCCTTCATACACATAAGCACACACACGCCAACCCCCTCTTTCTTTTAAAGGCCTTATGCCTTCTTCGGCCTGGAAACTGTTGCGTGCCTATCAGGATGTAAACTCTTTTGCCTTGCTGTTCCTATTCTGTTTTGATTCTACACGAAATATTTCATTACCCCCCTGCCTGAAGTTTCCCTTTGATAGGATGACTTTCGTTTCATTTATTTCGTAACACTATTAAGCCACCTGGCAAACAAGAATGTCTGGCTGTAATAATGATTGAACAAAATGAGTCCTTTTGGAAACCCTGCTGCTGGTATAAGCATAGTTACTGATAAGGGCATTGTTGTTCACATCGTAAACATAAGGGTGGGCTTGTGGGGTTTTTTAATTTTCTTTTTTTTATTGTCTGATATAAAGATCATATTCCATCTGAGACACATTATAACCAACATTTACCCATAATCAGTGATTTGTGACGGAGGGTTGAACTTCTCAGCCTGTCATTATGGGAAACATTTTCAGTTTTCTAGGGCGGCCTTCTGCCTGGCAATTTTCTTTTTTTTTCTTTTTCTTTTTTTTTTCCCTAGCAATTTTCTTAATATTCCAGATACTTGTTTTGTATGCTCTCTCATAAATAGCTGTAGTGCTAAGTCTTTCAGCTTGGAAGTCTCCCCCCACACTCATCCCCCCCCCCCACCATGTTGTTCTGGCTTAATAGTAGATTCAGCTCATGGTAACAACAAGACATCCTAACAGCTGCCTCTCTGTACCATGTGCAGTGTTATTTGCCCAATTATGTTTTAGCCGCTGCATCTCTAAATTTCTTATAAGCCTTGTGGAAAACTGGCACTGTTACTGATATCTACCCTAGAGTTATATACTCTAAAGGTTTTTTAAATTGTATTTATGAATATTTAAAATTTCTGCTTCTTTCTCATCCTGATTTTACTTGTGTTACAGATCCGGGTAAATAGTTCCAAACTGGTACGCATCACCCAGGTGGAGAATGAAGAGAAACTGAAGGAGTTAGAGCAGTTTAGTATCTGGAACTTTTTTTCCTCCTTCTTAAAAGAGAAATTGAACGATACTTATGTTAACGTGGGCCTATACAGCACAAAAACCTGCCTCAAAGTTGAGATTCTAGAGGAAGACACCGAGTACAGTGTCATTGTGACCCGGAGTAAGTCTTACCTCTGTTTTTCTGTGGATTTTATAGTGAAACAGGACTGAGCTTTGGAGAGTGTAAGTAGTGAGACAGAGAAGTCAGCCCAAGACAACTAGCTCCCTTTTGGTTCTGATTATAACCTGAGCATACCCCTGCTCCAGACAGTTGAGAGAGACCTTCTCCCACATAAAATCCTTTAGGCCTAGGATAGAGATTTCACGTTAGGTCATTCTGAATGTCTCCTTACCTAGATTTGTGAAGACTTGTGTTCCTAATACTTCCAGTGGCCCTGAGCTGATCTGCTTAGTGTTCTTCAGAGTAAGACAGGTTTATTCCTGCCCTCTGGGCACTTCTAGACAGTTAGATGTCCTGAAATGTATAGGCCTACATTTGAAGACATGAATGGTTAAATAATAAAAACTGAAGAAAGTAGAACTGAATATTAATGCTTCACAAACAAAGATTTGTGGAACCATAAGTAACTTTGAAGATCACTACAGTTTATTTAAGGCTTATTCAATGGAACTGGAAAAGTTTTCCCTTTTCTGAATGTATTTAAGAAAGTTTCACAGAGGACTGGAATCGTTATCCTGTTTTATTTTCTGACTTTTGGTCTCTCTTTGGTTACTACCCAGGGTTTTGGGATGTTGCGAATAGCAGAAACATTCCTGGGTTTTGCTACAAAGTCCTAGGGTTCCACGGTATTTTTTTGGTTGTATAGAATTTGCCTTTTTTGGGAGGGGGTGGTGGTGTTCCTTTTACAAATACTGATTCTTCTTGCTCCTGTTCTGTCTGTGGACCTCCCCTAGACTCAGAGCCCTTGAATGTGAATGCTGTGGGAGTGTCTGGTATGCCCCTGAGGGGCCTCTGCTTGGGCCCCCTGGTCCTGGGTGAGATGTGTTTGAGTGTAGGCTTTTCCAATACAGTGCTTGTGTAGCAGAGGGAAGTAGGTGGTGTTGGGCAAGAAAAGCAGCCAGTTAGAGAACAACAAAGGGCCTGGACCCAAAGTTCTAGGCAAATCTGCTGAATCCGAACCTGTGAGTGATTGAAGGCATGAAAACCAGAGTAGTAGAGACCCCTTGTGGGCGATTGCATGAAGCGCTGATGGCATTATGCCTGGCTCCATCCAAAGCAAAGTTAGTTTCTTTTAGCCTTAGCTTAGGTAGCCAAAACAAAAATAAGATCTCCAGAAAAGCACAGGTTAGAGAGAGAAAATAATTATATTTTCTATTTGGAAGGGTTCCCAGGCTTTAAGTGGAATTTACAATGCTGTTTAGGTGGGTTGTTTGCATTTACAGAGGTTGGTGTGCTGGCTGATTTAACCCTGCCCCCCAAGTTGAAAATCTGCATATAGCTTTTGATTCCCCAGAACTTAATTACTAATGGCCTAATGTTGACGAAAGACTTACTGATAACCTAAACAGTTAATTAACACATACTTTGTATGCTATATGTATTATATACTGCGTTCTTACTATAAAGTAAGCTAGAGAAAAAAATGTTATTAAGAAAATCACGGGAAGAGAAAATACATTTATAGTATTGTGATGTATTGTCAGAAAAAGTCTGCGTATAAGTGGAACCGGGCAATTCAACCCATGTTGTTCAAGGGTCAACTATGTTTTATTAGCTGACTAATAATGCCAACATTGCCTTTTATTCTATAAAGGCTTAAACTGTTCATTTCCCCTATTAAACAGAAGTCTTTATTTATTTCAGGATTTGACCCCAAACTCTTCTTCATTTTCCTCCTTGGACTTGTGCTATTTTTTTGTGGAGATTTGCTGAGCAGGTAGGTTCCTGGGCTAGAGTGCAAAATGACAAGGCTTAGACCCACCCTGCTTGGCTTTTATCATGAAGACTTTAGGTGCTGCTCTTTCCTTTTCCATGAGATTTATGGCTAGGCCACTGCCTGCTTGGAAAATATTTTTTAATACTTTAGTAGGTGTTAGGATTTTGCTATATTCTTACATTGAATAAGATTGGCAAGAATAAAATTCTTGGATTAGGTTGAACCATCATGTCATGGGATTTAGTCAATATATCACCACCCTTTTCACCATTGGAAATAACGTGTTAAGTCCCCATTTTTACAGGGCCATGAGTTTGTTGATGAGTTTCATGCCATTCAGAGGTAAAAAAACAAACACCAACCACTTATTCATTTCCTGCCTTTAGGAACCTACTAGCTAAGGTAGGTAAAACTGACATGTACAAATATGCAGAAAACATACAGATAACTAAACAAAACACTGAACAAGGGTAGTATCAACATTAACTTTGTACACAAGTGAAAAGAATATTTATGGAATAATGAATGAAAGCTTAACAATTGGAGTTGGAAGTCAGGCTGCAGTGAGATTGGTAGAAGTTGTTCCTTATTTTGGGGGTCCTGAGAGAAACTCACAGTGAGGAGGAGGAAAGTCTGGCACCAAGAGCCTGGAATAGGGCAGGCGCTCTCTCTATTCCAGGCTGTGTGTCTGGTTATCTTTCTGGGTAATCAGTTCAGTTCCAGTTTTCGGTCTCCAGTAGGATAGTATACCTGTACCTTCCTTTTCCCCACTGAGGCCATGCAGTTCTGAAGAAAGACTCATTAAAAATTGGGGTGGGAGAGATGCTGCGATGGGAGTGGGTGACTAAGCAGAGGCTTATTGTTGGGAGGTATTTGAGGGGCCTCACTGATATCAATCCTCAAAATCTGGCAGCAGTTACATTGTACCAAGTCCCATCAGTGTTGACACCTCAAGTTTTAAACAAATACCTGCTCTAATCTTAGACTTTTTTCTGTCTTTTGGCTGGGATAGTCTACTTTGAATGATGCCATGTATGAAGAATATACACGTAGTCATGATATAATGTTTCTCTCTGCAGAAGCCAAATCTTCTACTATTCCACTGGGATGAGTGTGGGAATTGCGGCTTCTCTGCTAATCCTCATTTTCATACTGTTCAAGTTTATGCCCAAGGTAAGTAGCGGAATCCTCAAATGCAGTCAGGATGAGCTTGGATAGTTAGTTGAGGGACTATTTTGTTGAATAATCTTACAGCACTGAAAATTGCATTGGTGGCTGATAAGTCAATGTCCTTCCTACTTTTTCCTTGATTCAGAAAGGTACTTTCCATGATGGAACTTGGAGCTTGATTACATACAGATTCTGCCTTTCATTTAAAATCCCTTTGCATAGTGGGGAATTAAAGTCTCCTTCCTGTTTGCTAATCACACAGCCAGGCTTTTAACTTACTCAGCACCTCATTTTCCCAGTGGTCTTTGCAGACTATACCATTTTAAATATAAAGGATGTCTTTTTAAGAGATGTGGTTTTTGTGTATTTTAGTAGGTTGAAGTTCTTTGAAATGATAGTTCCATTTTGCTTCTTTTATGTTTAGAAAGCCTGTTGTAACTTTTTGTTTTCACTTCTACTCTGTTTTAGAAAAGTCCCATTTACGTCATCTTGGTGGGAGGCTGGTCCTTTTCTCTGTACCTCATTCAGCTAGTTTTAAAAAATTTACAAGAGATCTGGAGGTGTTACTGGCAGTATCTTTTAAGTAAGTGTTGTCAGTTTTGCTTTCCTTTTTATATGTTTATGGGTTATTTTAATTCATTTGATCATGAAAAGGTGTTGCTTGCTTACAGGAGCTCATAGTCCATTCTATTTTATTAATTTTTAAGAATCGTAGTTCTTTATTCCTAACTCTGTGCGGTTGTCACATTAAGTGAAAATGGTGTTGCCAGGGAGAAGACTTTAATTGGCTGGTGTCTATAAGTACACCTCTCTTTACACAATAGGCATTTTCCTGAAAATGACTATATTAATTGACTATATTAATAGAGTTGTATTTTTTTTTTTAAATTTTTTTTTTACTGTTTTATTTCTAGGAAAGAGAGAGAGAGAGAGAGAGAGAGACAGCGTGAGCAGGGGAGGGTCAGAGAGAGAGGGAGATACAGACTCTGAAACAGGCTCCAGGCTCTGAGCTGGCAGTCAGCCCAGAGCCCGACGCGGGGCTCGAACCCACGAACAGCGAGATCATGACCTGAGTGAAAGTCGGACGCTTAACCGACTAAGCCACCTGGGCGCCCCAATAGAATTGTATTTTAAGTCCACTTAAAGACCTTAAGAAGTAAAGGACTCTACATGAATGTTTCTGTAAGCTGAAGATCCTTTGCTTATACAGATGGTAACCCTTAATCTACCTTTTGAGAGGTAATTAATCTGGATTTTCATATATTAGGCTTTTTTAAATTAAGAACATTTTTTTTAATGTTTATTTTTGAGAGAGAGACAGAGCATGAGCAGGGGAGGGGCAGAGAGGGAGACACAGAATCTGAAACAGGCTCCAGGCTCTGAGCTAGCTGTCAGCACAGAGCGAGATGCGGGGCTCAAACTCACGGACTGTGAGATTATGACCTGAGCTGAAGTTGGACACTTAACTGATTGAGCCACCAGGTGCCCCTAGGCTTTTTTAAACAGACTGTTGTAGTGTTGTTCAACATGTAACTTCAGTCTTCCGTTTGAACCAAATAAACTTGGGAGCAACAGAAAGGTAGAAACTTAAAGAGATAAATATATTTGAGTAATGAAAATGTGTGAATAATTGAGTAAAGATCTTGTCCGTTTTCCTAATTCAATAGGTGCTATATAGTGAATGGATTGTTGCTCCCCACACAAATGATTTTTACCAGTAATAGATGAAAAAGAATGTTTTCTGATAACTCTTCTCATAGGCTATGTCCTCACAGTTGGATTCATGAGTTTTGCAGTCTGTTACAAGTATGGGCCCTTGGAGAATGAACGAAGTATCAACCTGCTGACCTGGACCTTGCAGTTGATGGGCCTATTTTTCATGTATTCCGGTATCCAGATACCACACATTGCCCTTGCCATTATCATCATTGCACTGTGTACTAAGAACCTGGAGTACCCTATTCAGTGGCTGTACATCACCTACAGGTGACTGAAAGGCAATATAACTTTGTAATGAAACATGCAATATGGGATGCAGTTGCGGCAAAAGGGTACAGAGGTGTTGACCTGGGAACCTCTTTGTTAATGGAAATTTATTGTATTATGCTTCTGCTTTTGTTCTTTCCGAGTCTTTCTTTTTAGAGTCTCTCTGGGCATTTTTATAATTTCATTCTAGCCATTTTATATAAAATAAAAGCTTCCAGTAAAGTGTCATGTGTCCCTGTGACCACTAGGTGGTGCAGAGTATATCACTTTTACACCACATGCCTCAGGTCACCAGGTTTCAGAATATTTCACATTGGCTCTCAGATTGCTCTGCGAGTTCTGGTCCTCAGATGTATTTCAAAGCGTGTTATCATCTTCCATAGTGAATGTGGAATGGTCATAGGTTCTGAGGTTATCAGTGGTTGTTTTATTAGGTAGTCAAGATGATGTCTTCAGTTTGGGGAATCCAAGTTAATGGACCACAATGTTATACCATCATTTTCTTGTCATTTTTCCACTTATTGGAAGATAAATATTTTGTCTGTCATTTGTTGGCAAATAAGTGAATTTATCCACATTAGTGAATAATATGGATTATTCTGACTTGTCATTCCTAGTCTCACATGTCAGGTGTATATTATAAGTCAAGGTGTCTATAGAAGAAAGGTGGGAATGATGACTTGTAATGCCCAGGCTCTCTGCTGTATACTTGGCTCACTGAAGGGAGCTAGAGGGCAGGCTGAATAAAAATTGCTGATTAATGATTCATGATGTTATTTTGGTGAGCACAGAAAGATGTGTAAGGCAACAGAAAAGACTGTCCCCCCTCGTCTCCTGACAGAAGAAGAATATCGGATACAAGGAGAGGTGGAGACCCGAAAGGCTTTAGAGGAGCTTCGAGAATATTGTAACAGTCCAGACTGCTCTGCCTGGAAGACTGTTTCTCGAATCCAGTCTCCAAAGAGGTAAATCCTTGACCAGCTGTGCTAAGCATCTATCAGGCTAATTGTGACCTTGAGTTTTAACAGAGATCATACTTCTAGATAATCATTTTGTATTGGTGGCTTTGTTTTCCTATTCACCTAGGAGTAGTTGACAGAAGGATACATGTATCATCATATGTTAAGCTGTAGCCTGTTTTCTGTTTCTTCAAGGAACTATCTACCCTAGATTTGATTGTAGCACTGAGATGAGAAGACTCCAGGACCATATTAATTTTCCCCTGTGATAGTTTTGCCTTACTCTCTGTGTCTGAATTTTTCTATGTGTAGGGCAGGGAGGGGTCTTTTTTATTTGGGAGCAACTGTACCAATAAGTATGTGAAGCTTCGGTTTGGAGTCCTGATGGCATAAAGGTCATAGAGCCATAAACATGAATAAATGTGTAATGCCCCTTAATCTTCTCTTATCAGGATTACAGGTGACTAAAGGAACCTTAGCACTTTCCTAACTAAAAAAAAAAGTGTAGGCTAGTGCTTATTAAGCAGGATGGCATTTCAGGGATTGTTGGGTTATGATCCCAGCTTTCCTGTTCTCCTTATTTCTTGCTTTAGTCTACTTGCCTGCCAGAATAAGGCTAGACTTAATATAATTTGAGTTGTGAGTGCATCAGATGTTTCAATTTGTTCTTATTTTGAAAGGAAACTTGAAAGAGCAGAAGGCAGGTTCTTAAAGATTATTGTCTTCTCTTTTCTAGATTTGCTGATTTTGTGGAAGGTTCTTCTCACCTCACACCAAATGAAGTTTCTGTCCATGAGCAGGAATATGGATTAGGGAGCATTATTGCCCAGGATGAACTCTCTGAAGAAACATCCACTGATGAGGAGGGCTCAGATTCTCGGTACCCCACTGTCACACAGCAGATCAACTCCTGACTTAGGTGGTGGTTGGTTATTTTTATGTGGACTGGCGTGGGACCTGATGGTTCATGTTGCATGTGTGTGTAGCTGCTTCTCAGCTCTTTGAAACAGGGTGAGATAGTGCAGAAATTCTCCCACACAAATTAGAGGCCTGAAGAGGCCTCCCTCGCAATGGTCCTGGTGGTCTCTGTGGGATCCCTGGGAGAGTGGATCAAGTATTGAATGCTTCTCAGTGCTTCCCATTGGTTGTGGGCCCACCTTTATGTTTCAAAAACAAAAACAAACAAACAGACAACTGGATGGCCACAGCCAGCACGGCATTCTAGCTCTTCTTAAGAGTTCATTTGGTGGTGGCATGTCTGCCACCATAGCTGGCACTCGAAAGTGAGAACCATTATATGTGTGCAGTAATGCTTTCAGACCACACGCTGCATCTTCCAGAGAGAACTCCACACATCTGAGCCTCCTTCACTTCTGCTTTTCTTTCAGTGACTTTAGAATAATCCTTGTTTTAGCTATTTTAAGAGGAAAATAGATTTTTATGTCTGTCTTATTTTTTAAATGAATATATATTTTTAAATGTAACAGATTCATGTTCCAGAACCAGCAAGTGCTCCAGATTGACAAACCCATAGGCCCCTATGTTTATTAATATGGATTATCCATTAAAGCCCCAGAATTGTTGTGTTGAGCTTTGAATTCTCACGGTACGATATTCTAAGTCTTGCTTGCTTTGAGGAACATGCTTGTAAAGTCTTCTGTAGGGGAGGTCTGTCAGGCTTTTTATTATATCCCAACTTTTAATTGTATCTTAAAAAGACCTTTACATTCTTTCCTTCCCCTTCCTCCTTGCCCCCTTTGCCCTTTCAGGAAGTATCTATTTCCTCAACTGTGAAGGAAATGCATTTCTTACATTCTCTCCCTCTTGGTTTGTAGCATTATTCCTGCTAGTTGGGAGAAGTGATCATTTTTAGAGAATTTAAATGCTTTTTACAGGTTCTCCATTTTTCCTGTCAGTGGGACACATATCTTTGAGTTGCTGTGGAATCAAGAACCTTTCCTTTTCCTTTCTCTTCCTTTGTTTCCTATTCCTTTCAGCCTTTCCTTATCACTTGCATACCCCCCCACCTCCCAGTTTGGCTAATTTGTAAGCCCTGAAACTATCTGTGAAGTTTCCTTGATACAACATATAAATTATAGCTATGTAGCTGCCTCAGTTTGCATTACCATGAAATAGACCTCCAGGTAATCTTCATGCCTCTGAATGTTCATTCAGCCATCAGGATCAGACACATTTTCTCCATGAACTTAGCATACTTATTTGCAGTTCCATTTCTGGCCAGAGATTCATGCTGCTTTTATTACAGTGGCATTACTTTCAGATTCTTTTGCCATTGGAAAGTACCCTTATAAACCAGCAATGTCATTTATGAGGGAGCAAATTCCCAAGTCTCTATCATTTGCTTGGTTCTGTCTTTATGATCTTCACCCTCGTACCTTGTAAGAAGCCGTAATTATGCTAGCCAGGAAGATAGGCACTGAAGGTAGCTAGCATCAAGCTCACTGGTTTACCATGATCATGGAGAAGGCAGATGAATTTTTAAAAAGCTGCAATGACTCCTTCAGACCAGCCACTTAGATAATCTTGAAAGGCCCTGGGCTCATTGCTGACTTCCAAAATGTCAGCGCTGAGACTCCCCTCCAGGTGGCCAGTTGATTATTACCACCAGTGTTTCCCACAGCTTTAAACTGTCCTAAAGTGACAACTACCTCAGTTGGCAGCAAATATACATATAGTAGAAAGTGAAAAAGCAGTATTTGGGCAGCTGCTGTGGGTTCAAGTTGCAGGGCAAAGGAGCTTTATATCAGGAAACCTTTATGCCTTTGTAAATTATGTACATGGTAAAATTTTATTCCTCTGTGAGGAACTGCTAAGACCTCTGGAATATATTATTTTTTGCTCTGTTTATAGAGATCAAGATCTAGCATATTTGAGCATAAGTTAATTTGAAAAAATAATTCATCTGTACAGGTGGTCTCAGGATTACCTGGCGACTTTGGTGCTTTCCCTCAAATCGCTCCTTAGAGAGGCGGTAGCTTGCCTCCAGGGTGACTTCTCCTGACTCTTGTCTTTATTTCAGTGAGAGAGCACTGTGAAGCAGGGAAAGAGTCTCCTCTTTTTCTGTTTAGTTAAATTCCTTATGAAATATAGTTTTTATCTCCAGACCAGTTTTTTCACCATGTTTGAATTTGAGGTGAGTAAACTCAAGCTCTGCTTATTACTCCATGTCTGGTCGTCAGAGAACTGAGCTGTAGGCAGCAGAATTGACGGCAGATCTCACAGCATGAGAGCTGCTCTCAAACAGTGAAGGACGGTGCCCGGTGCCCTTTGGCGTGCTGTGTGTCCTTGCCCTGCCTGCCTGTATGGCTCTGCCCCAGATGCTTCAGAGCCTCTGTGTGCCTGCAGATTGCTTGACTCCATAAGCCTTCTTCAGGAGCTGCTCTTGTCTCTCTCTTGGCCACTTAGTCTGCTGGCTTAGTCACTACTTGAAGCCCCCATTTAATTTTCTCTGGCAGTTGCAGCTCTTGCAATCCAGCATAGTCTCATCTCTCAGACTGATCTCATCAGGAAGGATCGAAGGGATAACCATGGAGTGAGCTGGACATTGGAGCCACGTCTGCTGCCATGTCAGCGTCTTGCTTGCAAATATCAAACTATAAATGGGCCCTCTTCAGGACCAGGGTCTCTTCAGCATCGGAAATCTATTGCCTCTAATTGGTCTGACCAAGTTATATAGAGCATGACTGCCATTAATGGGACTATGAGAGCCAGCTGGCCTAAAACATTTCCCTTTCACTTTCCCACTCATACTGCTTTCTCGAGACCAATGGAACCAATCACCAAAAATAAGGACAGTTTAGCAACTTAGAGGTCTTCTAATAAGAAGTCCTAACAGCCACTTCATCCCACCAAAAGTAGTTCATTTTTTTTTTATTAAAAAAATATTTCTATCAGCACAGAGCCTGATGTGGGGCTCGAACTCACGAACCAGGAGATCATGACTGAGCCAAAACCAAAAAGCTTAACTGACTGAGCCACCCAGGTGCCCCCAAACTAGTTTATTTCTTCCTCCAAATTCATGACTTTCTGATGTTACAAAGGAGATTTTGCTGATCATAGTCTTTGGGTCCCAGTGTTCTATTTTGTGCTGTTACATCCCATTCAAAACCTAGCTCTTTCCTTACTGACAATGTTCCCTTCAACTCAATTCCCACCTGGCACTTACATTAGAGAGCTGATGAATGAAAGGGCCCAAATAGGCCAGATAACCCTCCCTGCTCTGATATCCATAAAAAGCTTGGGAATGGATTATGCAATTGCCCTCAATCTTTTTGTTCCAGAAAAAAAGACGGGCTCAGATGGATGCCTGCGTAAAAATGGTTCTTAGCTGTGTACTCATAACTTTTCTCTGAATTGAGTAGTGAAAGTTGAAGTAGGAGGAAAGGAAATTAAATGTCCTTCTAGTATTCCTTTGGACTCAGGTCTGACATATGAGATAATAACCTATATTAAAATGCCAAGAACTTTATCTCAACCAAGGAGAGGGCAGTTTGACAGATTTATTATGCCTTCATGTTACATAGGCACTGAAACCAAGTAATAAACACATAAAATAGCCATTTGCACAAGACAAAGGCACCTAAAACCTTTTATGTTTTGATGTAGCAGAAATTGATTACTATTTTTAGAGAAACCTATGCAATTGTGGTGATCCAGTGGTGTCTCTTGGTAACTTAGCTTATGGTTTCAGTTGCTGTGGAGTTGGATTCTAGATGGTCACTACCTTGAAAAGGGTGTTTGGTGCCTTATGTGATGTTAGCCAGAGCCTGCCGGAAGTAAAGTAGATTCATGTCAACATCACACACAGCTTTAGTGGGGGTGGGAATGGCACACAGCCTCCCCCAAATTTGGGACTTTGGGCTCCCACATCCCTGCTCGTGTGTGTCATGTTCCTCTTTACACTCTTGACCATAACTTGAAAATGGTGAAATCATCTTCTCTGAACTTTCCTACAGTCTGAGCAACATTCTTATCATGTTAACATAATAGCTCATAATGTAAGTATTAGAACTGTTACAGCCTGCAGTTGACTCAGTTTCTAGAATCAATGGTGAAAGAGCAGGGGTAAGGAATTACTGGGTAAGTTTTAGCCTATGGGTAATGCCTTAGTGTTATTTAAAAGACTTGTCATTTATATTTAAAATAAATGTTCACGAATGTTTGAAAGGAACAAAATGATCAGGGATGGCTCTTTGCCATGGGTCTCATGTTCACTCTTTTCTGTAAGAAAAAATAACAGTGTCTTATTATATATATTTTTTCATTTTTATTGTACAAGTTTGAAAGTAATCCCAATTTTAATAAAGTTTTATAGACTGTATAGTGGTTTCTCTTAATGAACATATACTTTTCTTATTTGGATCTTTGGAAACAATTAGCTTCTAAGTTTCATCTTTCTGATGAGGTGGTGGTGCATGCCATCTGTTCTCTTTCTTCACCACCGCTCTCCACCCTGGGGCTGTCCTGGTCTACTTCTGTCCTTGGACTGGGTGATTTGTCAGAATATGAGAGCTCTAAGGCGTATTCTTGCAGGAGGCACAGGTTGTAACTACCATGCTGTCTCACAGAGAAAAACAACAACATGTATTGGTTATTCCTAGTCCTTGTACGTTAGTTCTTTTTTTTTTTTTTAATGTTTTATTTATTTCTAGGAGAGACAGAGAGACAGCGTGAGCAGGGGAGGGTCAGAGAGAGAGGGAGTCACAGACTGAAACAGGCTCCAGGCTCCGAGCTGGCAGTCAGCACAGAGCCCAACGCGGGGCTCGAACCCACGAACCGCGAGATCATGACCTAAGTGAAAGTCGGACGCTTAACCGACTAAGCCACCCAGGCGCCCCTAGTTCTTTCTTTTTAATAGCATAAAATGTCGTTTGTTCCTCCACTGGGGTGAGAGGAAGGTCTGTGCATCCAGCGGTGGGATATCTGCCCAGAGCTTTGTATAGGGTGAGAGAGGGAGCAGGGCTGTAGTGCGTATTAAGGGCCATGGAATAAAAACTTAAGTTATGTCTAGTTCCAGCTTCAATAGGAGGAGTCTGATACCTTCCACCTTCTTTTATGTTTTAGCTACTTTCTTTGCTCTGGGGATCCGTTAGAGCATTTGCATTAATTCTGTGTATGTGTCCTCTCCTCTCAGTTATTTAGACTACATGGAAGTCTATTGTCCATTTTTCAGACAGTAAGTGAAAGACTAAGAATCAGGATGTAGACCGTATGTAAATTTATGTAGATTAATGCACGCTATTGACATCTTTTCTCCTCTCCCTCTTTTTTTTTTAAGTTTATTTATTTTGAGCGAGAGGTTGCATGCAAGTGGGAGGGAGCAGAGAGAGAGGGAGAGAGAATCCCATGCAGGCTCCACGCTGTTAGTGAGATCATGACCCGAGCTGAGGTCAAGAGTCAGACACTTAACGGACTGAACCACCCTGGTGCCCCTCTCCTATCCTTTCTATAACCATGCTAGGTAAATAAGAGACATATGTGATTATTAATCATTGGATTAATAAAAACTTAAGGCATAAGTGCTAGATGTCGCGTGGGGTTTTAATGAGGACAAAAAGAGATAAAGTGTGGGGTGCCTGGCTGGCTCAGAAGAACATGTGACTCTTGATCTCAGGGTCATGGGTTTGAACCCCACGTTGGATGTAGAGATTACTTAAATAAAACTTAAAAAAAAATTAAAGTGTGTAAAGAAGTTCTTCTCAAACTTGAACATGCATAGGAATCATCTGGGAAGCTTGTTAAAAATGCAGACTTCTGATTCATAAGTCTGGGTTGAGGCCCAAGATTCTCTATTTCTTTTCTTTTTTTAACATTTATTTTTGAGAGACAGAGACAGAGCATGAGTGGGGGAGGGGCAGAGAGAGAGGGAGACACAGAATCCAAAGCAGGCTTCAGTCTCTGAGCTGTCAGCACAGAGCCCAACGTGAGGCCTGAACTGTGAGATCATGACCTGAGCTGAAGTCGGACACTCCAACCTACTGAGCCACCCAGGTGCCCCCAAGATTCTGGATTTCTAATAAACTCCCAGGTGATTCTGATGTGAGGTGTGGACCTCACTTTGAATAGCAAGGATGTGAAACACTTAGCTTGTTTGCCTGGTACACAGTGAGTACTTGATCAATATTGTTACTAATTGACAGCAAATAATTTATGAAAGTCAAGAAGACCCTCTACCACCAAACATCTTCACCAAATCTGAAAACTTCTGTGTTTTTATTGTGTGGCATCTTTTAAAAATGAATACCCTTGGGAGGACTTCTGCGTGTGAATTAGTTTAATCAAATTACTGCCTTCCCAACTGTGTTAAAAATCAGCACTAAAGGATCTAGATTTGTTTCTTCTTTAAAAAAATTTTATTTATTTATTTATTTATTTATTTATTTATTTATTTATTTATTTTGAGAGAGCGAGATCACACTGCCAGCGAGGAGCCCACTGTGGGGCTTGAACTCATGAACCATGAGATCATGACTTAAGGTGAGATCAAGAGTCAGATGGACACTTAACCAACTGATCCACCCAGGCAACCCTAGAATTGTTTTTTCTTTTTTTTTTTGGTCAGCTTTTTTGAAGTATAATTTACATACAATAAAATTTGTTTTAAGTTTTGCTGAATTTTGACAAATGGAGTTGATTGACAGTTGTGTAAATCACTACCATAAACATGTTAAAGAGCATTTCCATCACACCCAAAGTTCCCTCATGCCCTTTATGCAGACTAGAAATGTTAATGGGGAGAAGAAGAAGGGAGTTTCAGAATCAAAGTGGAGGAAGACCAATAAGCTCCAGTTTCTTCAGTTTTGCCTGGGGATCAGAAGATCATAGTCTTGCGTCCTCCCTGCCTCCTCCACCCCCGAGAATGCTTTGACAAATGTTTAAGTCCCTACTGACTTGGATGTGTACTTGTAGCTCATTAATTCAGAGTGACCCATTCATCCCGGCCCAGAACCTTCCCAGTTTTAGTATCCCAAGTGCCCATGTTCAGATATCTCACCCCAGGTCCCAGACACACCAGGATGGTAGGTTACCCCAGCTGTGATGTTTATGCCACTGTTTCTCAGCCTAAGGTTGCCTTGTCATTTTTTAGAATCATTTTTCTTGTGTGAGCACATAGGAGGCACTCAGTAAATGAGTGGGTGGACACACAGATAAACCCCAAGCTGTAGGCAGCTGTGGATTCCTGGCTTGGAGAGGAGGAGACCTGGGTTCTGGTTCTGGTTCTGCCAGGTTTGTAGTCATGTGATCCTGGGAAAGTGGCTTCTCACCCCAGGTCTGTTTTCTCCATGTGAAATAGGGGATCCGTAGCCCTTTCTGCCTCTGACATAGATACTGCTTCCACTTGTACATGGGGTTGTGTACTGATGGCACTTTCACTCAGCTTGCTAGCTCCTTTCCTTGCTTTTTTTTCTCCCTTCAGATATATATAGTAGATCAATAAATCGTGTAAGGGCAGGTTGATAATGGAACTGCTGATGGGCCAGGCATATGCAGAGTGCTTCTGTGAAAGCAGTAGAGTTTGGACCTTGAACCAAGTAGCTGTGGCCGGTAGTTGGAGGGTCAAGTCTTCTTCAGCTAAGTGTGTGTAATGACCCGATTTGCTCTTTGTGCATGCCTGGGAGAGAGGATGGTGGGCAGAGGGAGGCTGTTGTTTAGGAATTTTCCTGGGTGGGTGAGGGGGTGCCCTGGAAAATAGGATAGGGTAAGTTTCTTATCTATTGGAGGCATCTATTTCTAGCTGCGCCCGGGAAGCAGCATCTCAGAGTCTCATTCAGTTTCCTTGCACAGAAGGATTAAAATCAGAAGTCCCAAGACTTGGGCTGAAACCTATGGTTGACTTAGGGTCAGGAAGCTGCCTTCTGTTTCTGGTTCTGCCATATACTGTCTGTGCAACCTCTCTGAGCCTCAGTATTTGCCTCTAATTTTCCTTTTCAATGGAGTGAGTAGCTGCACTGCCTAGCGCACAGGGTATTGTGATTCAGTGAGAATTATATAGGTGGGAGTCAATGAAACTGACATCTATACAGATGCCAGGTGGTATTACTAACTTTAACCTTTAGGTCTGTTTGTGGGGGCTGACTCACGGGGGGAGGGAATTTGGGGATTTTGTCTGCTTAGTTCCCCAAGTAATGTCATTAACACCCTCTGATTCTCAATGAGATAGGAAGGTTTGAGGGAAGTACTGTCTCTTTCCTAGGAAGACACTCTAGCCTACCTCCCTCTTTGACAAAATTCCCAACTTTTTGGAAAGCTTTTTCTCGGCTATAAATTCCACTCTTGCTCTTACTTCATTTTTGAGGGCAGTAGAGCAAGAACTCTACTTGAGCCCCTCAGCTAAGCCCAGCCAGGTACCCTTTCCTACCTAGAGTGGGCTTTCTCATGTGACTGAGCATCTCCCTCTGGGCCTTCAGGCTTGTGAAGAGTTAAGTGAGCCACACCCTTAGCAGGAACAGCCTCGGACTTTGTGCTGAGCAGCCGTCTCTGGCCTCTCTTGGCTTGATTGGCACAGGGAGCCTGGGCTGGAGAAGGCAGCACAGTGGAAGGTCAGAAGAGTGGACACTGGCAAGAGGAGGGCAGCCTCTTTCCTGGCCTCTCGGACACCATGGACAGCTCCCAATAACGAAGGCATCTCTCCACGCTTGGGGCCTTGGAACTCTTATGCCCCCTTACTGTCAAATTGGGATTTCATCCACAATTTTTAAGGGACACTGAAGTTACATCCTAGTTCTTTCCAGTGTTGGGTGAGTCTTACCTTGACCTGTCACTGCTCTGCACCTTTTGGGTTACCCTATCTGGGAGATGCTCCTTTTTTCCCTTTCCCACCTCCAACCAATCACATTCCCACTCCCCTCAAATCCAAATCCAGAGAAGATGGCTTCATGCAGCCCTGTTTCTGTTTCTCACCCTTGCCTGCCAAGTTACTTAAAAATTTAACTTTCCTTTTTAATCTGGAGCACGTGGGATAATAATAGTATCTACTTCATGGGGATATTGTTTATAAGCATCGAATTAGTTTGTACAGTGTTTAGAGCCCTGCCTGGCCCATGGCACCTGATTGTTAAGAGATTGCTCCTGTCAGTATTCTTTTGGTCTCTCAGTTGTGTCCTTCCAGGAAATGACAAGTGCTCTAATTTTCTGGAACTAGGGGGAGGCATAGTAAAGGCTGAAGGCAGCCTGTGTTCTCTTCTTGCCCCACCTTCAGTTCCTGCTTCCCTCGCCTCCCCCACCCAGGTTCAGCGTTACCGAGACTGGGAGGATGTGGCTCTTTTATTCCTGTTAGGGAGTAGCCCTGACCATTGTACTAGTAATTCTGTCCTGCCCCAGGCCACCCCGCCTACTCAGTCCCACAGGCCAGACTGAAGAGGGCTGGGCTTCCTAGGTTGTACCTGCCATGTGCGCAGGGGATGAGCCCCACAATAACTCTGTTCCTCCTTGCCCACTCCCACCAGCTGCTAAAAAGCTAGGTGTGTCCCTGTGAGGCAAAGTCCATGCTGGAAGATTATAGCAATAGGTGTAAAAGCTGGAGATGGAAAAATAGGCACATCCAGAGGTCCTGACAGCTACTTCATGTTGGAGAAACCAACCTAACTTTTATTCTTTTTAAGGTATTCTAATTTTTTATGGAGGAACTCCTGCCTCTGTTCCTCTGACTCATCAACTCATCCCATTTAAAAGATGAATCTCGATGTGGCAATGAGAAGGGGCCTCTGGAAGAACTTTTGCAATGGTTCTGGGTAGACTGGGTGACTGAAATAGAAGCTGTGAGAGGTAGGGAGTTGAGAAGGAGAACTGAAGGCAGAGAGTCAGGGAGTCTGGATCCTGGCCAGGGCCTCCGTACAGGAAGGAACAAGTTTTTAGAGCTTACCCTTTTCTCCCCAGCCCTCCTGCAAGCACAACTGTGCTTCCCCAGTTGCTACCTGCTGGATGCCTTCCTTACCCTGGTCAAAGACAGGTGGTCCTGTCCCACCCCTGCCCCACCCCTACTGGCCCTAACACAGAGAGCAGAGAATTCTCCCCAATGGGAAGTTTCTGCAGCCTCCCACAGTTAGCTTGGGCTAGTCCAGAGGACCCCTAGGTTGAGGATTCTCTCTAGGGCCAGGAGATGGAGAAGGCTCTTTACGTCCTTCTGCCCTCCTCACTCCCCCCCCCCCATAGTTACTGGCCCCTAAAACTAAGCAGACTTCAGCAAACTGACCCCCTTACTCCCAGGATCATCAGCCCCTCGGGACATGACTCTCCTGGAAGGCTGTGTGGGGGTGGAGGACCTCGTGCTCCTGGAACCTCTGGAGCAGGAGCCTCTGCTCAAGAACCTCCAGCTGCGCTATGAAAACAAGGAGATTTATGTGAGTGCATGTGGGTGCCCCCGGCTGTGGGTATGTGGCCAGAGAGTTCATGTGCTCCCACTCCTTCCTTCCCCACTCAGCCTCCCCTACCCCCACCCCTGCTCATTCTCTTTACTTTTTTTGGCTCCAGACCTACATTGGGAACGTGTTGATCTCTGTGAATCCCTACCAGCAGCTGCCCATCTATGGTCCGGAGTTCATTGCCAAATACCGGGACTATACCTTCTATGAGCTAAAGCCCCACATGTAAGTAAAGGGACCGAGGGAAGGCTGACAGGGCCCCGGCTTCCTGACAGTGAGACACCCTAATTTCCTCGATCCTTTCTCCTGAAGGAAGCTCTCCAGCTGCCCTTTACCCCCTGGTCCCAGGAAGATCCTTCACTGGGTGTGGATCTATCACTCACCTCAGTCTAGTCCAAGTGAGGAGGGTGGATGACTCTGGAAGTTGGAGGTTAAATGAAAGATAGTATCTTGGATTAGCCCCCAAATCAGCCATCATCTGCTTCCTCCCCCAAGCTATGCTTTGGCGAATGTGGCATACCAGTCACTGAGGGACCGGGACCGAGACCAGTGTATCCTCATAACGGGCGAGAGTGGAGCTGGCAAGACTGGTGAGGTGCTTGGTTTGGGGAGGCCGTGGAGTCACTGCTGGGACCACCCCCTTGTCTCTTTCTGAGCCAGGCCTGGTCCTGCCCCACCCCAGAAATTCCTTCCTGCTTTTTCTGATTCTGAGGGGTGTGGTGCTGGAATGGGGGGACTTAAGGAGAGTGGTGGGGCTCCATGTGAAGGTTTCTCTTGCACAGAGGCCAGTAAGCTTGTGATGTCTTATGTGGCGGCAGTCTGTGGGAAAGGGGAGCAGGTGAACTCTGTGAAGGAGCATCTGCTTCAGTCAAACCCAGTGCTGGAGGGTAAGGATCCCAGTCTCTGCCCTCTCCATCCCCCACCCTGCTAGCCCCAAAGACACTCAGCCCTACACCCTCTTACCCTGTTCTTGTTCAGCTTGAAAAATCTGAGGTTGGCCTGATGACTGGAAGACCTCTTTCCTTCCCTTTCTCTAGAGCCCCTCTTCTCCCCTCAGTTGCCTCACCTCCTCTCTCATCTCCGCAGCTTTTGGCAATGCCAAGACCATTCGCAACAACAACTCCTCTCGATTTGTGAGTGACCATCTCCCTGGGCTGGGAGGAGTGGGTGTGGGGGCTCCAGAAGGAGGAATGCGGCACGGACCCCTCCTGGACAGGGTGGTGAGAAGAAGAGGAAGCAAAGTCTCTCTCTCTCTGGTCTCTCAAGGGAAAATACATGGATATTGAGTTTGACTTCAAGGGAGCCCCCCTCGGTGGAGTCATCACAAACTGTACGTGTCTCCCTATTCTGCTTACCACCTCTCTCTTCTCCCTATCCCGCAGTGTCCCTTTCTGGTGATTTGCTACTGTAAGAAGGAATAGTAGGCTACCAGGAGACTTCCCTACCACTAGGAACATCAGCGAGGAGGGCAGGCTTAGAGGGAAGCTGTTGAATCTCCCTGAGCCCTAGGACATTATTTTCCAATTCCCTGCCAGATCTGCTTGAGAAATCCCGAGTGGTGAAGCAGCTTGACGGAGAAAGGAACTTCCACATCTTCTATCAGCTACTGGCCGGAGCAGATACGCACCTGCTGGGTACGTGCCTGTCCCAGACACATGGAAGAAGGTCTCCAGCTTCCATTCAATCCCTAGAATCTTTGGGCTCCTCTGTGCCCCTGCAGCCCCCTTCCCCTGAGCCCTTAGGCTCCCTCCTCCTGCATTCCTCACACTGAATTTCATTCACCCATTGTTGGGAACAGTCACCTGACCTCTGTGTTCTCTTCTTTTTCTGGGATTGTATTGCTAGGAATAAACCTTCTTGTCTCTTGACCTGCTCTTATTCCTCTGTCCTGCTTGGGTTCCTCTTTACCCAGGCTGGCCTCAGAAATGGGACATTTATTTCCATCTACCATTCTTTCCTATCTTCAATTTAAGGAACTTAATCAATAGCTCAGCAGAAAATCAGACAGGATATTTAAGTGTTCAAGAAATTTTTATGAGTAGTAGTTGAAGTTGTTCTGGGTCTACATATGTCTCACCCACTCAAGCCCCTGTCCTTGATTTCCTCTTCTTAGATGATTTGATGGAGGTTCCATTTAGTCATTCATCAAACATCTCTTGAACACTTACTATGATCAAACATTGTGCTAGCCTCTAGTGATGCAGAGTTGAATAAGATAACATCGACCTTGGCCTTGAAGAACTTACAGTCTTCTAGGGATGGCAGATACGTTCAATAGGCCTGTGCAGGTGGCTGTCTGCCTTGTCCTGGGGAGCCCTGGATGCTGGATGGGCCTGAAATGGTTCTGGGTGGGCATCACTACAGAGTCTTGTGGGACTTTAGGTCCTGCCAGAGCTTGCCTCCCAATGCCCCCTCTAGCTGTGAGCACTGTGGGTATATGGCCCCCAAGGATCTGTCCTTTGGGTTCCTGGTTATTCTCTGCTAGACTTGTGCCTATCTCCTCTTTCCTCCTAGGGATCTTCATGGTTCAAGAGCCCCCACAGGTCTCATTATTCCTCCTAGCTCAATAGTCTTGGTTGTGCTAAATTTGTCTGAATCATAGATACCAGTATGTTATTCTGGCTGTCACCCATTGGCTTAAGCTAAGCCTGGGCAGGGCCTCCCTGGTGTCAGCATCCCAGGGCCTTTCTGACTCACTCTTTATCCAGATACCTTTCTTTAGCAGGTTCCTCTTTCGAAATTTGTGTCTCAGGGGAAGCTGCCATTAAACTCTAGTTCGAGGGACTTTCCCTGATTCTCAGATCATTTGAATAATAGATCACTGATATTCTTCAAGCTCCATGCTTAACCTACTTCTTCCTATCTCAGGTGAACAACTTGGACCATAACCTTGACTCATTTATTGAAAAGAAAAAAGTTTGTGTATGCCAGCCAGGCACACAGAAAATTAAGATGAAAAACACAATCCCAACACACAAGTTGTTCATTTGTGGGAGAGAAAGAAAAAACAAAACCTAGCCCATGTGTTATGGGCTGGGATAGAGTCTACCATGGGGGAACTCAAGAGAGCCTTTTGGCTCAGCCCCACAATGTCCGAGGAAGGTTTCCAGGAGAAGGGTCAGGATTGGGGAACATAGTACCTGCCACTTTGTTGGTGCTTAGTGAACAAATAATGAATGAGCAAACCCAGGCCTAGGGTGAGGTGTTGAGGCTCTGGGTAGGTGGGAGATATGTGCTCACCTATCTTTCCTCTATGAGCCACTGAGAACTGAGCAGGACAGAGGGTTTGCTTGTTTGTTTTTATAGTTTAGAACCCTGAGGGTGAGAAGAAGAGTAGAAAGAGTCTTTTCCTTCGTATAAGTTGGGAAAACCCTCAACAATTAAGAATACCCAAACCCTAAATACTGCTTGAAAATTTAGTCTATTATCATAGGAATTAATGATCCCAAAACAAAGGAGGTAGGGATAAACATAAAACAATAATGGCTCCTTCAAATAAATGAGTAAACCAAGCTAGGGCAAGAGCTGTGAGAGTTAAGGCTGGAGGGCTTCTGAGAGCTTGTATACTAACCCTCCTTCCTCACACTGACCCACCCAGAGGCCCTGAAGCTCGAGCGGGACACAAGTCGCTATGCCTATCTGAACCAGAAAGTATCTAGAATTGATGGCATGGATGACGCCTCCAACTTCGTGTCTGTACAGGTGAGTGCCCAGGGTGGGCCTTAGGCCATCTTCTGAGCCCAGGCTTTGACTTTGAGAAGGGAGGCATTGAGCTGGCGCCACAGTTAAGCTTCTCATTTCTGCTCTCTCCTCCAGAATGCAATGACTGTGATTGGGTTCTCGGAGGTGGAAATTCAACAGGTGCTAGAGGTGACTGCTCTGGTGCTGAAGCTGGGGAACGTGGAGCTAGGAGATGAGTCCCAGGCCAATGGGATATCAGCAAGTAGCATCCGTGATGAGAGAGGTCTGCACCACCCTGCTGGTACCCCTAAGCAGCTCCCTGAATCTCCTACAATTTCTGTTCTTCCAGCATCTCCTAAGTAACTGACTTCACTCTGATTCAGTCCCACTCAGCCATTCCTGAGTTCTTCCCCAAACACACTCATCAAGAATTCCTAGTGAGGCATTTTGGAGTGAGTTTATGAAGTTCGATAGACCTTGGTTCTGGCACCTCTCTGAGTCTAAATGGAGTCTTTGCAAAGAATTTCAGGAGATCCTCCTATTAAAGTAGATAATGAAGGAGCACTTGGGTAGCTCAGTCATTAAATGTCTGACTCTTGATTTTAGCTCAGGTCTTGATGTCAGGGTTGAGTTCAAGCCCCATATTTGGCTCCATGTTGGTGTGAAGCCTACTAAAGAAAAAAGTAGATAATGCATTTAAAGTGTCCACAGCTCCCTCTTCTCCTCCCCAGAGTTTCCTCCTGCGCCATGTTATGGATGCGTGGCAAGGATGTCCCCAGCAAGACCTTGAGAGACCAATCTCCCAGCAGTGTTACTTCTCAGCCTTCAGCCCTCCCTCCCCAAAAGATAGCCCTCTTTCAGGCCACGTTGTATTTCTTCATCGCTCCAGGTGTCCAGGAGATTGGGGAAATGATGGGTTTGAATTCAGAGGAACTAGAGAAAGCTTTGTGCTCAAGGACCATGAAAACAGCTAAAGAGAAGGTGGTCACTACACTGAATGTCATCCAGGTAAGGGCCCTATGGGAGGAGACTGATTCTGAGACGATTCTGTGGCTGCCACCCTAACCAAGCTGGCCCTGCCTTGCAGGCTCAGTATGCTCGGGACGCTCTGGCTAAGAACATCTACAGCCGCCTTTTCAACTGGATAGTGAATCGAATCAATGAGAGTATCAAGGTGAGAGATCACTCTCCTCCCTCAGCGCCCTCCTGTCTGCCTCACTTTTCTTGTTCTGGTCACCATCCCTATACTTTGGGTTCTGAGATAAAGAGAGAGTAAGAAGGATGAAGGGTAGGGTGCAGTTCTCTCCAATAGTGTGTTGCTGTGGAAGTATTTCTGGTTTTTGAGTTTGACTCTCTGGGTCCCCTGCTTACCAGCTGTGTGGCCTTTTAGTTTCACAGAGATTCTGGGCCTTAGTTTCCTAATTTGGAAACTTGGATGCTAATGCCTACCTCCCTTCACAGGGCTTAGTGAGGATCAGATAAAATTATGGACATGGTTTCCATATAACCCTGAAATTCCACTCCAGATACAGATCCAAGAGAACTGAAAATAGATGTCCACATAAAAACCTCTACCCAAAAGTTCATAGAGGCATTATCCATAATAGGCAAAAAGTGGTAAATAAAATATGGTATATCGATACAATGGGATATAAATAAATAAATGGGCCATAAAAAGAAATGAAGTACTGATACATTCTCAACTTGGACAAATCATGAAACATTCAAGTGGAAGCAGCCAGACACAAAAGGTGATTCCATTTATATGAAATGTAATAGGCAAATCCATGGAGATGGGAAGTAGACTAATGGTTATCAGGGCCTCAGAGTGGAGGGAGAGGGGAAGGCAGAGTGACAGCTAATGAATATGAGTGCAAGATTTCTTTTGGGGATGATGAAAATGCTCTGGAATTAGGTAGTGGTGATGGTCATGCACCTTTTTTTTTTTTTTTAAGTTTCTTTATATTAAGAAAGAGAGTGGAGGAGGGGCAGAGAGAGAGAGGGAGAGAGAGAGAGAGAGACAGAATCTTAAGCAGGCTCTGTGCTGTCAGCACAGAGTCCAATGTGGGGCATGAATTCATGAACTGTGAGATCATGACCTGAGCTGAAACCAAGAGTTGACACTTAACCAGCTGAGCCACCCAAGCGCCCCAATACACATTTTGAATATACTGAAAAACCACTGAGTTGTATACCTTTAAAGGGTAAATTTTATGGAATGTGAATTTTTATCTAAAAATAGAGCTATTATTTAAAATTTTTTGTACATGAAGGGTGCCTGGGTGGCTTAGCTGGTTAAGCGTCCAACTTCATCTCAGGTCATGATCTCACAGTTCATGGGTTTGAGCCCCACATCAGGCTCTGTGCTGACAGCTAGAGCCTGGAATCTGCTTCCGATTCTGTCTCTCCCTCTCTCTCTGCCCCTCTCCCACTTGCAGTCTGCCTCTCTCTCAAAAAATAAACATTAAATTTTTTTTTTAAATTTGTATGTGAAAATGCCTTCAATTCAGAAGCTATAATGGAAAGGCAACAGGGGAAAAGGGGATTTAAAAATGCTCATCCCTTTTGAAATTTGATCTGCTAAATCTGTAAAATGGGAATAATCACACCCATACAGGGTTATCATGAGGTTTAATGAAGTAAGAACATAGAATTTTTTTGTAAAATGCTCTATAAATGTAAGAGATGGTTATTTTCCCGAGAAGATTTTAAAGTCTTTTTACCTCATCCCCTGGGAGCACCATCCTGGAATCTGCTTACATCTCCCTACTCCTCTCCTCCCCTCCCTCTGCTTGGTCCCTAGCATGTAGAGTAGGAAGGAGAATAAAATCACAACGGTTCTTTTCCAGCCTGGTCAGGCTCACCCTAGTTCTATTTGCCTTCTGCTCCAATCACATCCACCCCAGAAGGGCCTGGTCTGGTGTACAGAGGAGGTCCGTCTTCAGACGTATCTTTTCCTCCTCTTCAGGTGGGCATTGGGAAAAAGAAGAAGGTAATGGGGGTCCTGGATATCTACGGCTTTGAAATTTTAGAGGTGAGAGTGTTTCCCCCAACCACAGCCACCCTGCTCCCTAGGGTTGGAGTGTGGAGGCTCCAAGGGAGGGGCTTGAAAGAGGGGAGAGCCGAGAGGGAGGAAGGGTCTTGGGCTGAGCTGCTCTCTCTAACCTGGGTCCCCTCTTTCAGGACAATAGCTTTGAGCAGTTTGTGATCAACTACTGCAATGAGAAGCTGCAGCAGGTGTTCATCGAGATGACGCTGAAAGAGGAGCAAGAGGAGTATAAGAGAGAGGTGCGCTGAGCCTTCCCCCCACGTCTGCTCTCTGAAGTGACACTGGTGCATGCCTGTCCTTGTTCTCAATCCCAGTTTCCTCTCACTCATGCCCAGATGGGAACACAAAGGACAAAAAGTTCCCCTTGCACAGCTCAACAGTGCAGCATTACCAAGAAGCCCTAGTTTTTGCTCTCCATCCTCCAGTCCCCTGCTCCCACCCCAGACGTGCAAGCAAGGCGCAGACTGATGGAAGGCTGTGTGGGAGGAGTCCACACAAGGGTGAAGCGACAGCTGTGCATGGCCTGTGGCACACTGTGAGCCAGATTTGGAAGGGACATTTCTCCCAGGCTTGTCACCCCACCACATCCCTTTTGGTGCTCTTCTCTGACGCCTCGCAATTCTTTGTCTCCTCGGGCCCTGGCTGATGTCTCTGTCCCCTCATGTAGCACCCTGGTCCCAGACTTCCCAGACTTCCTCCCCACAAGTGCCCCATGGCTCAACATTTCCACACTCCTTCCCCTGTTCAGCGAGAACCCTTGCTTTCTGTGGCTAGGTGTTAGAAAAGCTATCTGATTGAGCTAATCTCCCCTAAAGTGTGAATGGCTGAGAGTCTCACTCATCAAAACGCTCCCAAGGATGCTGCCTGTGAACCCTCAGGAATCTGTTGTGGCAGAATTTCAGACAATGTGGTCACAATGTGTGGGAAAGGGGTTTTTTAGTTGTTTTATATGTTTTTGTCTCAGAATTTTAAATGATCAACTAGAGACTACATCCCCTGCTTCAAAATTCAAAAAGCTTAAAACGGTGTATTAAGAAAGGGCTCCCGGGGCGCCTGGGTGGCTTGGTCGGTTGAGCATCCGACTTTCGCTTAGGTCATGATCTCGCGGTTGGTGGGTTCGAGCCCCGCGTCGGGCTCTGTGCTGACTGCCAGCTCAGAGCCTGGAGCCTATTTCAGAGTCTGTGTCTCCCTCTCTCTCTGACCCTCCCCTGCTCACGCTGTCTCTCTCTCTCTCTCTCTCTCCTAGAAATAAATAAAAATATTAAAAAAAAAAAAAAAAGAAAGGGCTCCCTCAGCCCATCCCCAGCCTCCTACTTCTCCTCCCATCTAGAGGCAACTAAGGTGGCCCTCTTTTCAGAGGTCTTTTATGTGTAGTCAGGCAAATGTGTAAGTTTATTTTCTCACAGAATTTTTTCAAATGGCAGTGATACACTCGGCTCTACATCTTGCTTTCATCAGTTAACGAGATCTTTCCATATTGTATATAAAGATGCGTCTTTATAACTACATAGGATTGTAAGGGTATCATACTTCATTTAACTAGTGGGGAAGGTATTTTGGGGATGAAATGGGAAGGCAACTTTACTTAATTCCACTCTATGTTCCCTTAAGATCTGAGAGGGGGTGGGAGAGAGAGGCTTCTGTTCCTCAACCACACCCCCGCACCTAGGAATGGCCTGAGTCTGGGAGGGCTGGCCCTTGGGTGGGATCAGGCGCTATCTTGTCTGTTGCTATCCTTAAATGGGGAACCATTGTCTTTGGGTCTTCGTCTGTACCATTCTTGCTTAAAAACAAAAACTATAGGGGCGCCTGGGTGGCTCTGTTGGTTTAGCTTCCTACTTTGGCTCAGGTCATGATCACATGGTTTGTGGGTTTTAGCCCTTCTTCTGGCTCTGTGCTGACAGCTAGCTCAGAGCCTGGAGCCTGCTTCCGATTCTGTGTCTCCCTCTCTCTCTGACCCTCCCCTGTTCACGCTGTTTCTCTCTCTCTCTCTCTCTCTCTCTCAGAAATAAATAAAAAATATTTTAAAAAGCCCTATATAGTCTCAAAGTATCAGGTAGATTAGTAGTTCTTAAAGTGTGGTCCTAGACCACAGCATCCCCTGGAAAGGTGTTAGAAAGGCAGATTTCTAGGCTCTGTCCCAGACATGCTGAATCAGAAACCTTGGGGATGGGGCCCAGTAGTCTGTCTTCACAAGCCTCCCAGCTGACTGCCATGCAAGTTTGAGAAGCACTGATGTAGGTCTTTGAAGATGGATCAAGTTAGGTTTGTCGTTTGATGAAATTCACTCATGTGCTTTGGTTTTATTGGTCATTGCCAGATCAGGGTGGCTATTCACTCTTGCACATACTCAAGGATCCTTCCCCACTCCCACAGTGGGGCAGTCCTACCCCAGTCTCCACCCCACAACACCTACAGGGCTCTCTGCAGCATCTCCCTCCCTCTCACAGCTGCTCTGGGTCCTCCCACGTATTTTCTATCAGCCTTGGAGGGATAGGGACCTAAACAGAAGCCACACCAAAGACCCCTCATAATGATAGGGCTTTCTGAGTCTTTTGTGGGTTGGGTGAGAGGGAGCCTGAGTCTGGTGAGGTCTTTGGAGACTCGTCTTGGACCTGCTCCTGTAACTTGTCATGTCTCTTCTTGCCAGGGCATACCGTGGACAAAGGTGGACTACTTTGATAATGGCATTATCTGTAACCTCATTGAGCATGTGAGTTATCTTTCTGTTATCTCTGAGACCTCCTCTTCCAGACTGCCTGAATATCCTTGTCCTGTCCCTCCCCTTGCCCCACTTGGTAAGGATGGTGAAGTGGGTAAAAGATGAGGGGGCAGAGAGATAGCAGTGAGGATGTGGACATCTTGGAGGATTAGGTCTAGGTTGAGCTGATCTTGTTTCTCTGACCAGAATCAGCGAGGCATCCTGGCCATGCTGGATGAGGAGTGCCTACGGCCTGGGGTGGTCAGTGACTCCACCTTCCTAGCGAAGCTGAACCAGGTCTTCTCCAAGCATGATTACTATGAGAGCAAAGTCACCCAGAACGCCCAGCGCCAGTATGACCACACCATGGGCCTCAGCTGCTTTCGCATCTGCCACTATGCGGGCAAGGTGACATGGCAGGGCTAGAGGGTGGAGATGGGCCCGGGCATAGGTGAAAGACAATGGGGGAGGACCTGGGGGGAGATGAGATCTGGGAATACTTCACAATGAGATTGGGAGTGCCAAGTGCTGGGACAAGGTCAAGGGCCCTCCAGACCCATAGCTGTTCCTCTACAGGTGACTTACAACGTGAACAGCTTCATTGATAAGAACAACGACCTACTCTTCCGGGACTTGTCCCAGGTCATGTGGAAGGCCCAGCACTCCCTCCTTCGGTCCTTGTTCCCTGAGGGAGATCCCACGCAGGCGTCTCTCAAACGCCCTCCAACTGCTGGGACCCAATTCAAGAGTTCTGTGGCCGTACTCATGAAGAACCTGTATTCCAAAAACCCCAACTATATCAGGTGACATGCTGGGCACATAGCGAAATGCAGCATGCGTGATGGCAAATGCAGGGTCCATGCACTATAGAACCTGTCCATTGTTGGGGGGGGTGTCTCTGGAATAAGGGTATCAGAAGGCCCTTTCTTCATAAAAACATGAGGAACTGAGAGTCTTGTGTCAGGGAGAGCATCATACTTTAGTAGAGACCATGCTATAGTGAGTGAAACTGGGAAGACCAGTGTGTTCACTTCCTCTGAAAATGTTCTACTAAGGAGAATGTGTGCAGAAGAGGGTTATGGACACCAGGATGGGCCACACTTGCAAAGGTAAAGCTACTGATGGCTGTGCCTTGCACCCCTCCCCCCACTCCAAGGTGTATAAAGCCCAATGAGCATCAGCAGCGAGGGCAGTTCTCGTCGGAGCTGGTGGCTACCCAGACTCGGTACCTGGGACTGCTAGAGAATGTGCGGGTACGTCGGGCAGGCTATGCCTACCGCCAGAGGTACGGGCCTTTCCTGGAAAGGTACCGATTGCTGGGGCGGAGCACGTGGCCTCGCTGGAATGGAGGAGACAGGTAAGACTCCTTAGAGAGACTGGAGAGTGGGGAAGGGTAGTGCAGGGAACATCTGGGGCAGAGGTCGGGGGAGAGCAGACAGTGCTATGTAAATTGCCAAAGCTCCATGAATGGATACTTGAAGTGAACTGACTGATCATTTTGCAGAGGCTCTTAAGTCTGTTCAAGCCCTGAACTCTTCTCCCTGGGGATAAGGGGTTGGGAAAAGGTAAAAGAGGATCCTTCTCCGGGATGCCCCTTGGCAGCTTTCCCCATCTGCTCCTGTAGGGAGGGAGTTGAGAAGGTCATGGGGGAGCTGAGCTTGTCCTCAGAGGAGCTGGCCTTCGGAGAGACAAAGATCTTCATCAGAAGCCCTAGGACTGTGAGTTGGAGAGTGTACTTGTGTTTGGTTGGGGTAGGAGGCAGAAGAGTTGGAGAGCCCATGAGTTAGAGGCTGGGGCAGAGTGGAGCATCTGTAACTTAGGATGGATGGTGAGTGAGGAAGTCTGCTCTCTGCAGGGACTTTGTCCCTGGAAACTGAATCCTTGGGCTCCTACCCTACTCTGCTTGCATGGCCCACTCTGAGTGCCTCTACCTGTAGCAGAACTCCTGAAGGTCAAGGTGATGTGCCACTCATGTCTAAGTTTCCAAACTTCACATGTGGCTATGACAGAGTTAGAGTTCAGTAGGTTTCTGTTAAGTGAATAACACTTAACAGAGTAATAATGAGTGAATTAACGAATGCACTAAGACGTCAAAGGAATGAGTAAAACACTGGCTGGGAAATTCCTGGTGCCTGGGCTGCAGGAGGAGAGAGCACTGTTCCCCTAGCCCAGCCTTTCTGCGCCACCTTCCACCTCTCCACAGCTGTTCTACCTGGAAGAGCAGCGGCGCCTGAGATTGCAGCAGCTGGCCACGCTCATCCAGAAGATCTACCGGGGCTGGCGCTGCCGCACCTACTACCAGCTGATGCGCAAGAGTCAGATCCTCATTTCCTCTTGGTTTCGAGGCAACATGGTATCAGATGTCCCCCCAAAGTCCCATCCCTTTCACTCTAATAAAAGAGTAGGGGGTGCTTGGGTGGCACAGTCGGTTAAGCATCTGACTCTTGATTTTGGCTCAGGTCATGATCTTACAGTTCATGAGATCAAGCCCCATGTCAGGCTCTGCACTAACAGTGTGGAGCCTGCTTGGGATTCTCTCTCCCTCCCTTCCTCTCTCTCTCTCTTTCTCAAAATAAATTTAAAAAACATTTAAAAAAGAGAGAGGGAGAGAGTGGGAAGTAGGAGAGGTGGTTCAGGGGACGGAGTTTTTTCTAACAGGCCTGTTGTTTTCTGCAGCAAAAGAAACGCTATGAGAAGATAAAGGCATCAACAGTGCTGATCCAGGCTTTTGTGAGAGGGTGGAAGGTAATGAGGAAGAGGAGAGGGGTTTCCTCGGCACACCTGGGTCCTTCCCCTACATGGTTTCTCCTGGATTGTGCCAGTTGCCAGGAGGAAAGGGTAGCAAAAAGCAAGTCCTGCCAACACCTAGGACCTACCTCTGTGTGATGGCATGCCTACATCTGGGTGTGTGTCTGGGAGTGTGGGTGCATGCTGGGGAGATGTGTGTATACGTCTGGGTGTGTCTCTGACTTGGCTTTGAGTGCCTTCCTCATTGCCAGCTTGTCTGGCTTTACTCTCTCCCTCCAATACAGTCTCAGTGCTTTATCTTACCATGCTCTTTGTGTGGTTGAAAAATAGTAGAACCTCTTCGAGATCTGTCTCCTTATCTTCTAGGTCTAACTGTCTATCTTTACTTTGGCTCCTTTCTCGTATGTCCCTGCCAGGCCCGCAAGGATTATCGAAAATACTTCCGGTCGGGAGCTGCCCTCACCTTGGCAGATTTCATCTACAAGAGCATAGTAAGTGGTGGGGGTTGACGGTGGAAGGTGGAGGGGGTGTTGAGGAGGGAGGGTCGGGTATGGAAAAGGAGGATGAGGGGTTTGAGAAGAGGTGACTCAAAGCTTTCCCCCAAAGGGCTTCTTTGATCTGCAGGTACTTAAATTATTAAGTCCTACGGTAAGAGGGAATGGGGCTCTGATGCCTCAGCGCCCAGGGGCAGAATCAGAGTGCACTCTGGAAGGAGTGGACACTGTGGGCAACCTTGTGGCAGGAAGAGGTCCCAGCGCACCCACTGACTGGTCCATGGTGAATACTCCCAAGAAGAGACTGGGGCTCATGGAAGAGCAGAGTGAGGACACGGGGTTAACTAATTCAACCTTCCAAGATCCATTTTAAAGTGGGGGTGAAAGTGGAGGGATTGTATCTTTCTTCCAGCTCTTCTGAAGCTATAGCAAGCAAATCCAAAATGAAATCTCAGGAAAGATCTTAATTCTGGAGGACTTGGGTCAGGATAGTTGGAAGAAGCCAGGACATGCAAAACAGGGACAGAGGAGGGGGATTTCCAGAGACATCCATCCAACAGTAACGGTGCTTCTGAGGAGTGGTGACGAAAAGCAGACAGGGAAAGAGCAGACCCTCCCGTGAAACCTTGAGAAAGGCCAGAGAGAAGGAGGGAGTGTGGAGATAGCGGACAGAGGGCTAGGGTAACTGAGAACTGACCGCTGCCAATTCCATTTTTGACAGTTGTTAGGACTCTTACTAATTATGCTCATTCAGACATGAGACGCCTTCATGGGAGCTCCCCTTTGTGGTTGGAGAGGTGGGATCCCTGGGCCAGCCTTGTGGAATGGGGGCTCTGGGCTTCCTTGTGGCCTCCCTGAGCCTTTGCTGTGCCCCACTCTAGGAAGCTCCGTCTTCCCAGGCCTCTTCTGTCACCTGTGTCTCCTCCAGCTGTGCTGGCTCCAGCGTGTCTGCCTTCCTAGAGTACCAGCTCTCTGGCTGCATACCCAAGGCCTATGATCTGATTTGGCTCTTATCTCCTGACTGGCCCCTCTTCTACCTTTTCTTTCATCTGAATATTATATCAGGCATCTATTGAATGTCGCCCCAGGAGCTGTAGGGCTTAGACCAGTATTTCAGTAAATTAGGTTCCCTACAGAACACGCATACAAGGGGACACTTGGCATCGATTCCTCCAGTGTTCTGACTAGTCTGTGTTTTGCCACTGCCTTGCCTATAACTAATGCTAATACCTACTGTTCTTTGAACACCTACTATGCGCTAAGCCCTTGACATGCATTAACTCTAATGTTGTCAACAGTTCTGTGAGGTAGGCCCTTTTCTTTCCTCCATTTTGTAGGTGAAAAACTAAGGCCCAGAGAGGCTGAATAACTTGCTAGGGGTCTCACAGGTGGTAAGTGTGAGAAATGGGATACAAACTGACCCCAGAGTTTTGGTTTGTTTGTTTAATTTTTTTTGAACTTTTATTTATTATTTTTGAGAGACAGAAAAAGACAGAGCACAAGCAGGGAAGGGGCAGAGAGAGAGGGAGACACAGAATCAGAAGCAGGCTCCAGGCTCTGAGCTGTCTGGACAGAGCCCCACACAGGGTTCGAAGTCACAAACTGTGAGATCATGACCTGACCATAGAGACCTACCTGGGGCAAGAGGGTTGTATATAGGGAAAGGCAAGACTTTCTGGATCTAGAAAAAACAAACAATTAAAAAAAGAAAACCCTCAGAGGTTTGACATCAATTAGCACATGAGGGATTGTGGGAAATGCTTAGGAATGTTTACTGAATTAAATCAAACTAGACCAGACCAAGGACTGGGGACTTAACCCAAGGTGTAAGGTGATTAGACCAAGCCTGCAAGATCTTTGTAGTGGAAGAATCCAAGAGCTTGGATAGTTCCTGGAGAGGTACAGCAATATACGGCATAACCTGCCTTTTCCCATGAAAATGTTTTTAACCTAATGTCTTAGTAAAGTTTTCATAAAAATTTCAAAAACTTGGGGATGCATGGGTGGCTCAGTCGGTTAAGTGTCCGTCTCTTGATTTTGGCTCAGGTCATGATCTCACGGTTTGGGAGTTCGAGCCACACATCAGGCTCCATGCTGACAGTACTAAGCCTGTCTCTCTCTCTCTCTCTCTCTCTCTCTCAAAACTAAATAAATAAACTTAAAAGAATTGTAAAAACTTGGAAGTACTCAAGATCAAGTCATTTTCTATATCTTCAGTAATTCTATCCCACAAACAAACAGGGTGCTGGGTACTCCCTGGAATATAAAGACTAGAGAGTCCTTATTCTAGATTGGGGGACACTAAACAGATGCCATGGGTGACACTTGGTTTGATCCTGGAAGAGGAAAAATAAGAACAAAGCTAAAAAGGACATTTTTAGAAGTTTATAAAGGACATTAGGAGAAATTTGAGCATGCATTGTTGTTGGATGAGTGTATCTAATTAATGTTAGTTTTCTTAGGTATGGAGGTGGGATTATGATTTGGTAGGAGAACCAGAATTTGTCCTGGTTCTTGGGAGAAGTGTGCTTAACATTTAGAGGAAAATGTCATGATTCATATAGCCTACTTTAGGATAATATGGTAGCAAAGATATATATATGTGTGAATGTGTGTATATATTTATTTATACCCATTTGCATATATGTGTGCATGTGTTAGAAAGCCCGCAAATATGGCAAAGTGTTAACATTATCAGTTGGTGGATTTAGGTGAGGGATATATGGCATGCAGATGTTCATTGTAATGTTTCTTCAACTTTTATGTAAGTTTAAAAACTTTCAAAATAAGACAATAAATATCATGAGATAAAAAATACTTAAGTCAGATTATGTCACTCTTCCCATTAAAATTCTCTAATGGTGTTCCATTTCACTCCCAATAAAAGCCAGTGTTCTTATCTCAGCCTACAAGGCCCTTCATGACAGTACTTGACCAACCAATTCTTTGATCTTCTCTCCTCTTGCTCGATTTAATCCAGTCTCGCTTTCTTTTCATTTCTGGGATATGCTACCCCTCATTTCCAGTCTCAGGGCCAGCTTTTTTGCATTGTAGCGTATATAATTATCTGACCTTATGTGATATGCCAAGCACAGAGCAGATACTCAATAAATGTTGTTGAATGTCTGGGGTGGGGGTACCAACTCAGCTTGGGATCCAGACTCCCAAGGACTCACTGTCTAGAAGAGGGAAAAGATTTCCACATAGAAAATAGTAGTACAAACACAGAAGTATAGACAAAGTGCTGTGGGGCTTCAAAGAAAGGAGAGGCGGCCTTGGCCCAGGAAATCAGGGAGGGCTTTGGGTGTGTCTGAAAGGACATGTAGAATCTATTTTTTTAATAGTTTATTTATTTTTGAGACAGAGACAGAGCATGAGTGGGGGAGGGGCAGAGAGAGAAGGAGACACAGAATCTGAAACAGGCTCCAGGCTCTGAGCTGTCAGCACAGAGCCTGATGCAGGGCTCGAACCCACGAACTGTGAGATCTGACCTTGGCTGAAGTCAGACGCTTAACCAACTGAGCCACCCAGGCGCCCCAGGATACGTAGAATCTAGAGGGGCAGAGCTGAGTTGAGAGCAGCAGGGGCCTATGCACAGAGTGAGCAACGCCCGGGCTGGACCAAGGGGTGGATGAGGAATCCTACTTGAGTGGTGTGCCGGAATCATGCAGGGGATCCTTGGGCATGAGGTTGGGCTCTAAACAGAAGAATTTGAATGCCAGGTTGAGGCATCGGGGTTGACTGATCAGAGAGGAGGGGAGATTTAGTACCTGTCCTATAGCCAATGCAGACAGTGGCAGCCAGCTAGCTGTAGGCAGCTATGAACTGAGACAATAGGAAGTCACAGGAGCAAAATACTGAAGCCAGTTTTCATCTTGGTTGCTCTCACCTTACTACCCTGGGCAGCAGGTCTCTGCTTGGAACTAACCCTTCCCTCCCTCCAGTCTCCCATGCATGCTCTCACTGCCCAGCCTCCAGCCTATGCTGGACCCTAAAAGAGATCCAGGAGGTGGTTCCCTTCCATCGCCTCACTCTACTTGTTGCTTCTTACTCTGGGTGGCCTCCCTCCTTTCAGGTGGCAGGTCCTGGATGAGAGTTTGCCTGTTGGGAGGTATGTCTTCTCATCGTTCCACTCCCAATCCCCCCGCTCCCAATCTAGACACAGAAGTTCTTGTTGGGGCTGAGGAACAATTTGCCATCTACCAATATCCTGGACAAAACGTGGCCCGCAGCCCCGTACAGGTGCTTCAACACAGCGAACCAGGAGCTGCGGCAGCTCTTCTACCATTGGAAGGTGAGTGGGGCCCAGCCTGTCTCCTCTCATTTGTCATTTTTTCCTCCTCCCTCTGATTTTCCTCTTCTGCTTTCCTCTTCCACTTGTTTCAATTTTTTTTTTTTTTTACTGTGAAAAAACACACATCACAAAAGTGGCCATTTGTAAGTCTGGTGGCATTAAGCACATTCACACTGTTGTGCAGCCATCACCACCATCCATCTCCATACTTTTTGTCATCATCTCAAACTACAGCAGTAACTCCCCATTCTGCACTCTTGTAGCCCCTGGAACTTATAATTGACTTTCTCTGTGAATTTGACTGTTCTTGGTACCTTGTATAAGTAAAATCATACATTTGTCCTTTTATGTCTGGCTTATTTCACTCAGCACAGTGTGCTTCCATTCAGGAAATATGTACTGAGCACCTGTCTAGTCTAGGCCTTGCGCTGTGTGCTGGCATATAGCCCTCCTCCGAGGGCTGGCACATTTTATTGTTTCCATCCCCCTCCCCCAGAGTCCCTTGGAGGCAGTGGCTGGAGGAGCACTGCCCTCTCTGAAGTGCCTAGAGCCTCTTCTATTCCCCATCTCTCCTCTTCTCCAGCCCTGCTCTCCTTCCACTTCTCAGTGTTCTCCCAACCCCCTGCCCTCGGCCTGCCCTTTGCCTCCATGATCTTAGCCCCTGCCCCTCCCTCTCACAGTGCAAGAAATTCCGGGATGGACTGTCCGCGAAGCAGGTAGAGATCCTGAAGGAGAAGCTCTGTGCCAGTGAACTGTTCAAGGACAAGAAGGCTTCCTACCCCCAGAGGTGAGGGCCCCTCAGACCCTGCATGGTCAGTTTCATCCAGAGCAAAGAGAGGGTCCCTGAGGTGGGGTAGGGTAGTGGTTCCCACACTAGTGTGCATCAGCAGCACCTGGCAGGCTTGATAGCACCCGGATCGCTGCACCTTCTCCTCAGAGTTTCTGATTCGGCAGATCTGGGGCTGGGACCCAGTCGTTTGCCTTTCTAACAAGTTCCCAGGGGCTGCTGATGTTGGTCCTGGACCATGCTCTGAGAACCACTGAGATAGAGGACGTGGTGGAGGATGGGGAAAGGGGAATGGGAACTCACTGTGGGGAGTCTCAGGGCCTTTGGGGGTCAGCGGTGAGGACCTTGTCTCCACCACATACCTCCTGTGTGTCCTCAGTGTCCCCATTCCATTCTGCGGTGACTACGTTGGGCTGCAAGGGAACCCCAAGCTGCAGAAGCTGAAGGGCGGGGAGGAAGGTTCTGTTCTGATGGCAGACACTGTGAAGAAGGTCAATCGTGGCAATGGCAAGGTGAATGCCTGCACCCTGGACTTCTGCCCACTGCCTGATCCAGAGCCTTGGGGCTGGTAGCTGGAAGGGTGGAGTTAATCCTCGCCTTTCCTCACGCTTTCTTTTTCTGTCCTTAGATTTCCTCTAGAATTCTTCTCTTGACCACGGGGCATGTGATTCTGATAGATGCCAAGAAGTCCCAGGCCAAAACTGTCATTGGACTAGATAGTGTGACCGAGGTGTCAGTCACCAGCTTCAAGGATGGGCTTTTCAGCTTGCATCTGAGTGAGGTATCAGAGCTCTGTGGGTGCAGGATCTCACACTGGAAAAGGTGGTGGGCATCATGGGGCTAGAGTGGGCTGGAGGTAATGGGGACCAGACCTTTCACTCTGGGCCTTCAATGCCTCTCAGGCTGCTCCTGCAGAGGAGAAATGAATCCCTTCCCCACTCTTTTTCTCCCTTCCTAAGATATCCTCGGTGGGCTCCAAGGGGGACTTCCTGCTGGTTAGCGAACATGTGATCGAACTGCTAACCAAAATGTACCAGGCTGTGCTGGATGCCACACAGAGGCAGCTTCAAATCACTGTGACTGAGAAGTAAGGCCATGAGCTGGGGGTGAGGGCCAGCTTGGGGGCATGACCAAGCTGTTGGTCACTGTGACCGGGAAAATTCATGTAGTCAGAAAGTGAAGCGTACTCTGTCAAGGCAAGGCTTGGAGGTGTTTCTTCATCTTCCCACCCAGGTTCTCAGGGGCCTTGAGTCTTCTGACATGAGGAGAGGAGAGATGTACTTCCTTTAAGAAGGACAAGGGAAGCCATCATGAAAATATAGGAGTAGGGGTGAGGGATGAGGGTACCAGCTTTACCCCTCTGTCTGTTCCCCCTCCAGGTTTTCGGTGAGGTTCAAGGAGAGCAGTGTGGCTGTCAAGGTCATCGAAGGCCCCGAGGGTGGTAAGGACGACAAGCTAAGATGCAAGAAGAAGGGGAGCCGTTGCCTGGAAGTGACTGTATAGTGAAGAGGTGGGGGCCTGATGCAGAGACAGCAGCTTCTCTGGACCTGTGCCAATCCCACCCACCCTGTTTGTATGAGGATCTCGTGTCTCACCCCTCTCTGTGGTGTGGGGCTCAGAGATTGAGGAACCCTTGAAGAGGACCTTTATTCTCTTAAACTCTCCTAGGTCCCTCTCCCTTAGAACTTAGCTTCCTCCCACCCTCAGCTGATTTGCCCACTAATAAAGCAAGTGACTTCCCAAATATTTGCTCAGTGTGTGTGAGTCCCTGACCCCCCACTTTCACAGTGCTTGTACTTCGACTACCCCACCCCCCATCTCCTCCTCAGGCTCCTTGGAGCCAGCAAATGCAGATAATAAGAATGGAAAAGAAGGGAAATTGTCTTCGGGCTCCTTGACCGGCTGAGCTCTGGCGGGGGTTTGGAGACACTGGTGTGGGGGTGGGGCAGCCAGCGATGGGGCTCAGGTCGCAGGTGGCCAGTGGGCTGATTCATTAAGTGTGTCCCTGGAGGGAAGAAGTGAGGATCCCTGTCTTGGTGGAAAGTAGGATCCTTTGGAGGTTTAGCCTAAACAGAGGCCTCAGGCTGGAGGGCTCATGTGAGCTGAGGTCTGCTGGGGAATGCAGGGTCCCCTGCACCCAGGAGCTCCCTTGCCCCATCCATCCCCAAGCTCATCACTGGGGCTTTGTCACATCTGCCCCCCCCACCCCCTTCCTTTCCATACACCACAGATGCCAGGCTGCTCCTGCCAACAGTTATCTTGCTAATCACTGTCCCACAGCTGGGGCCTGCAGCTGGTGGCACTTGACAGGGGAGGGGGGGCTCCCTGACCCACACTCTCCCACCCCTATGACTGCCCCCTCCCTTGTCTTCATTTATTTTCCCTGTGTCATCGCCATTATTTTTTTTCAATTTTCAACTGTCTCACACCATCTAGTCCCCATTTCTGTGGGCTCTGACTAATATTAATATGTAATATTTTATATAATGTTTTTAAAAACTCCCCTCTCCCTTAATATCTGTTTCCTCATAGACTCTGTGTTGTCTCAGTCTCTCCCATCCTTTAGGGAACAAGCAGCTCCTATATTTGCAGTAAAATGTAGATGCGTGCTCTGCGAGAGCTTACAAATGGCTGCCTTTGTTCCTGTCTCTGGATGTGTCTCCCTCCTTGCACGATTGCTACCTTCTTTGCCTCTTCCCTGTCTCCACCAGTGAGCTCACCGTGCCTTGAGGCTGGGGTTTCCCTCCACTTCGGTGCTGCCATAGGCAGGCAGCTCACGGCCCCAGGTAATCATGACGGCGGGAGACCTGATTAACTTCTATTCTTGCCTGCAGATTAATCTTGCTCTCTGAGCACAAGCCCATGTTCTGGCACACCCTGCTCTGAGCAGGGAGAAGGCCCAGGGAGGCCGTTCATCCCTGGCAGATGGGGGGCCTGAGTGAGGGTAGCTCAGGCTCCCATCAGCCTTCCACACCCCCCACAGATCCCCCGGCTCCCCCCCACCCCATCCTTGACTTCTCAGAATCAGGCGGAGGAGATCCTGTCTGGTGAGAGGGGGCTGGTTACCAGAGCCTGACCGCCCCCGCTCTCTGCCTCATCTCCTGCTCCCAGGGCCCAAATTGTCGTCACTTTCCCAGTGAAGTGTCTGGTCATTTTCAGAAGCAATTTCAGGAGAATATGCAGCTGCTGCTCCCCATCCTGCGTTTCCTTCCCCAGGGCTGAAGGCACTGTCAGCTCTCTGGACTGGGGAGGGGAGAGGAAGGAGGGGCCTGGTCTCTCTTCTGTCTCTCCTCTGACAGTCATTTGGACTGCTGCTGGTTTGAGGAAGGGGTCGGTTGCCCCACCTGTGCCACTTGTGTGATGGGAGAAGCTAAAGTTCTGCTGCCTTCCCCCGCAACCCGGCCAGGCCCACATTCTCAAAGTCTGGGTTGTTTTTCTGGGGGGCACAAGCCACCCTGGAGTCCCCTAACCCCCATGAGAAACCATTTTAGCATGTCAGCTTATACTAGCTCGAAGAAGTCACTATCCTTCCAATCTTTTCTAGTATCTCCACCCAGTGTTACCTACAGCCCTGGCCCTTCCCTCCCCACCCCGCAGCACCCCTCCAGGAGGTTGGAGGAGCCCCCATGCTGCAGCCTGCTTGTGCATGTGGTGGGAATATGCGGGTCATCTGGCATGCACAGCATGCACTGGGTCAGCATCCACTTCTACCCCCAAGAACGGCCCACAAACCCCATCTCATCCTAGCTCAATGCAACACACATTTTCCTTGCCCCCAATCCACCCAAGCAACAAAGGGGAGGAGTCCCCCAGGGAGGGTCTGCTAGGGACCCTGCTCTTCTAGGCCAGTGATAGCCCTAAATACCTACTGTGCCCTGTAGTGCAACACCCACTTTATATGCCATTTGCATATGGTCTGCGGGCAAGAACCTAACCCTTCAAAGCCTCCCTCCTTTATCACCTCTCTCACTTAGTTTAGCATTAGCTCTTTCAAGTCTTTGCTACTCCCAGAGATCAAGGGGTGATCAGTTCTCCCTGCCATTCCCTTGCTCCCCCCGTCTTTGGCTCCTGCCATCCTCTGTGAGATGCTGCATCATCAAAGGACATTATTCATGGCGGACCTTTGCTGAAGCCCTGCTTCCCTGATGCCAGGGCTTGGGGGCAGGGATGGGTGGGCTGGTGGTGGGGGGAGGGTCTGCCTCAGAGATGGGACCCAGGAGGCTTTAGTGCTCAGCCCTCAGTCTAACACTCCTCCTCTTGCACCCCTGGTTCCCTCCAGCCTACCTAGCTTGGACTTTCTTCTCCAGATTGGTAGAGGAGGTAGAAGATGGCTACGTCCAGTTGGGATCAGCACTTGAGCTTCTCAAGGGCATGAATCTGCCATGCCATTTCCATGTAGACAGGCTCCAGCTTCTACCCCTCATTCCATCAAAGGCCCCCAAACCTGGGTCCTGGCACATGATTGGCCCATACAGCCCTGTAATTAGCTGCATAATGGGAAGCTTTAAATGAGGCCCCATTGGCCTCTCACATAATAAAGGAGCCTTGAGACGCAGCTGCTGCCCTCTCTCCTGGGTGAACGTGGGGGCCATGTGCAGGCAGTGACTTCTCTCAGTATGGCCCAAGTCCCAGCGTGGGTGGGGTGTTGGGATATGGAGGGGAGAGACAAGCATTTCAGGATCCTAGCAACACTTGAGAGGCTCTATGGAGGATTCACACTGCAGGCTGCAATGCAAGAAGGAAGACTCAGACTTCCTTTTTTGTTTTATAAATACATTTTTATTGAGCACCTATTATATGCCAAATGCTATATTGCTAAGGATCCAATAGTAAACAAAACAGAGTCCTTGCCAATGTGATGCTGACGTTCTGGTGAAACGTGGGGTAGACAGACTATAAGTGAAACATTTAGTATGTTGGATGTAATAAGTGATGAGAAGAAACAGAAGGGGGATATGGAGTATGGAATGATGGTCATTTTTAGGGTGATTGGGGAAGGCATTGGTGAACGGGGAGTCTTTGTAGTAAGTACCCAACAGCTGTGGTTCTCTTCTCAACCCATGATGTAGAAGAGTAGAAGTTCCCAAATCTCCAGGTCTCTTGGAGAGAGGGACAACACTCCCTCTGGGAGAGTTAACTAATTCCTTACTGGTCAAAGTTCATAGCACTACAATAAAATAAAGGGAAAGATTGGAGTGAAAAACCAAAACTGAATTTGTGGCTCTTCTCCAGAAACTATGTGTTGTGGAGCACAAGACTGAATTTTTTAAAAAAGATTTTAAAAAATTTTTAAGTAATCTCTACACTCACTGTGAGAGTCGAACTTACAACTCTGAGATCAATTGTTGCTCTACCGAATGAGCCAGCCCGGTGCCCCAAGACTGAACTTTTTGAGCCACAATTTCCTCATCTGAAAAATAGGAAATGCTAAGAGTGACACATGGCTTTGAAGTTGCTTTCGCTTTCCCCCCACACCCCTTCTCTTCCCTTCAGCAGCATCTTCTCCCTCTGGTTCTCCTTCCATCCCCACTCTTATTCTTTTTTTTTTTTTTTCCCACAAATAGTCTATTGTCAAGTTGGTTTTCATATAACACCCAGTGCTCATTCCCACAAGTGCCCTCCTCCATGCCCATCCCCCCTCCCCCCCACATCCATCAGTCCTCAGTTTTTGTCAGCATTCAAGAGTCTCTCATGATTTGCCTCTCCCCCTTTCCCCCACTATTTCTCCCCTTCTTCTCCCCCACGGTCCTCAGTTAAGTTCCTCCTAATCCTCCTATACGTGCAAACATATGATATTTGTCCTTCTCTGCCTGACATCCCCACTCTTATTCTGACTCTCCCCTGGGGCTCTACCTTGGGTATGAAGTGAGCAGCATAAGCATCCTCAACAGAGTGGGCCATGAAGAAGAGGCTTGAATTGTCTGGGGAGAAGATGCCTGGGCCGCAGGGAGACAGATTAGAGTTGGGGAAACATGTAATTGTGAGGAAAAAAAGAAGCAATTAAGAGATCAATGCTGGGCTGGGCCAGGCCAGGCTGGGCAAGGATTGGAGGGCAGCTCGGCCACAGTGTTCTGTTCCTCCCTTCAGAGATTATAGCAGAAGGGATAGAAGTTAGAACTCTGGAAGAATGCAGCTAAATCAGGCTGATTCAAGGGTCAAGAAGTAGTGGTGTGGGGAGAGGCATTTGCACCGAAGTGGTGGAGGGAGGCAGATAGGGGAATTTCTGCATTCAGTAGCAGAGGAGAGGTCTTGACCCTCACTTGGTCTAAGGTCCAAGGTTATGCATCAGCTGCAGCTGGGAGGAGGACAGAGGGAGAAGTGAGAATGGGAAGGGATGCCAGACTCACCAACCAATGCTCAGGGGCCTGAGGCTAGTTGTCCTGGTGGTGTGGGAGGACCAGAGAAGCACCTGCCTGAATTGTTTCTGGCCTGGCAGTTGAGTCTGAAGGTTTAAAGGGCAAGGAGCTGGTGGGTGAACAACGAGTAGAAAGAGACTCAAGGACCATACCTATTGAGTTAGATCCAGCATGGAAATTGTGGGACTAAGCATATACAATATCATTCTTTAGTGTGGCCAGCTCAGGGGCTGTTGGAAAGTGGGCTGCTGGATAACTCCAGCTCACTGCAGGGTTTGTGGTGTGTGTGTGTGTGTGTGTGTGTGTGTGTGTGTATGTGGCTGCAGCCTATATCCTCTTTTTTCTCTACCAGCCTTCCCCCTCCCCTCCAGCCACCCTGGGATTGGTGATTCACAGCCCCTCCTCCAGCTCCCCCAGACCCTCCCAGAACCTTTATCTGGGAGCTGGGCCGTGTTCCTGCCACATCCTCAGATCCCCTCCCCTCCACTCCCCTCTCTCTACAAAGAGGCAGCGTCACCACCAGCACCACCAGCACCACCAGCGTGTGGGGAGTGGGTACTGCTGCTGCTGGCCAGCTCCCTGATCCTGCTAGACCATCTGCCCTAGGCTCAAAGCTGCTCCACAGGTAGGCACGAGTGGGAGAATGTGGGATGGACTGGAGCTGGCACCAAAGGACAGAGGCCAGAGTTAGGAGGGAATAAAGGACCGGAGGGAATAAAGGTGGCAGCTTTTGATCTGGGAACAGGGTACTGGGAAGGTGAGCATAAAGCGCCGATAGGGTTTCAAAACCAGTAATGTTTGGAGCCTCTGGGTTCAGACTGATTCTTCTAATACTAGAAAGTTTTTACCTAAGTCTTGGGTTACCTAGTGCTGGAAAATAGAATCCAGGATCCCTCCTCAAGCTGACTAAGAAGAGAGACTGGTGCATGTCCTACGGATCTATCACCTTCCTTGGAAGACTAGCGTCTGGCACTATTGCAACATTGCTCATTGCCAGGTGCTCAGCCTGGGGAGATGTGTGGTGGGGGAGCAGGGAAATTGAGCCCAAGGGATGGCTTCCCTGCTCGGAGATACTCTCCCCAGACCAAGGCTTGGATGGGGGAGTTGGGGCTGGAGAAGCAGGGTCAAGCCAGGCTGCCAGCTGCATAATGTCTCCTACATTTGCACCCATGGTATATGCTCCCTGCACTCCTGTCCTGTCCCTCTGCCCTCCTAGGCACCATGCGGAGCGCCCTGCTGTTCGCAGCCATTCTGGCCGTCAGCCTGGCTTACAGTTTTGGGGCTGTCTGTGAGGACTCACGGGAGCAGGTGGTGCCCGGTGGGGGCCACAACAAGGTAAGACACCCCCTCTAGCTGCGCCCACCCTGGCAGAGTCCTGGGCAGCGTCATGAGAGCTGGCGTTCTGCCTGTTCCACAGCTGTTGAGAGGAAGGTGGGGTGGGAGTTACCTGGGTCATCCATCAGAGGGTGGGTTTCCCTGCCCCTCTGGCGGTCTCATGTTCTCACTGTCTCTAGGTATGTGTCTATAAGTGTCTCTGTCCCTCTGCGTGTCTTTGATAGCCCTGTACCTAAAAAGTGCCCTACCAATTCGTTGTTTTGTTGGTTGATTGACTGGTGACTTGGGGACTGGATACTGTGAGGGGTAAGCTGGGGTGGTCCAGCTCAGTTTCTGTCCTTCTGCAGGGGGCAGATCCTTTCCATTCCCTGGATGGTATGAAATATACTCAGAATTTCTCTCCCAAATGGTCATTTATATGCTATTTTACCTACCAGTTATGTATATTCTTTTATCTTCAAAATTCAAATAAATTCCTATACATTTTGCTCATCCACTCCCAGTAACCTCAGGTATTTGTAAGCCCTACCCCCTTTTTTTCCTTTCCTTCACCCTGCTCTAGCCTCTGTTTAGTCAGGATAGAGGGCAAAATCCCCCACGAAACAGTCCAGGCTTCAATTTCCAAAGTTTCTCTAAGAAAAAGAACAGGAGTTGTCAGGGAAGGGGTCCAGGGGGAGAGCAGGGAGGAAGTCTTTTCAAGGTTTTGAAATGGCAGCAATTACATTGGTACACATGCTTTTAAGATGATTATAGGTGGAACTCATTACAAATTCAGTGTGTGAAGTCTAACTGCCTCTCCAGCTCAGATCTGTTTAGCATCTCATTACAGGAGGTGGGCAGAATATTTGAACAATTTGGGAAAAGTGGCTGCCTAGGATGCCATGCACAGGGCAAAGAGAGAAACCAGCCTTCATCTATACGTGTTCCAGGGCATGATAGGCGGGCAGCCTTGCAGGTGGCAGCCGTTGCACCAGATCCAAAAGACCAGAGCCAGTTCAAAAATACAAAAAATACACAAGGAGTGCCAAAGGTGGGCTGGAAGCTAGGTTCGGAGCCCAGAGTTCCAGCTGGAGACGGTCAGAATATCTGGCTATGTTTCTCTAAGACAAGCTTGCTTCAAGACCTTGGACCGGATGGTCAATGAAAGAGAGAGTTTGCCATCCCCTCCTTTTTCCCCGAAGGTCTGTGAGGATGAGGGAACCTGGGGTGAGGCGAAGGTAGGATATATGTGTGCCTGGCCAACTGGTTGGTATATGCACGGTACAACTTGTGTTAATGTGCTGTGTGTGTGCTCGGGAGTCCAAGGACACCTGGGCTTTGGAGAGAGAGACACCGCTAAGATTCAAGGTGAGAATCTCCAGACATGATCATTGCCATTGTCTCTCTGCAGCTGCATCTAGCTGGCTGTGTGATGTGTCCCCACCAACCACTCTGCTGTGCCCAGGTTGCTTAAAAAAAAAAAAATCAGCAAGACAATGAAGAGCCCCTTCCTGGCAGCAGGTCCAGAATGTAGAGCTCTGTTCAGTTGCAGAGGACAAGAGGTGTCATTCTGAACACACTGTTTCAGATAATCTAAATCTGAATTCAGTGTAGAAAGGAAAGAGACAACCAGAGGCAGAAATCTATGGAGAAGAAAAGAGGGTGAGAGGTGGTGGGAACCAGAGGCAGAGAATCATCCACAGACGTGCTGCAGAGTAAGGGAATTTCAGGATCGCAGCCCCAGCTGCCTACCAACACCCATCGCAAGGACTGCGCCCTCTCTGTGACTCAGTCATGGAGTAAAGAGGACAGTTGCTCTGTCCGATGGGCATTTCTTAGGAGTGGTGGCAATCATGGCTCACTCCTGTAGTGGGGCACCGCATCCCTGGGCAAACTGGTTCCTGATGGGCCAAGGAGAAAGGACCAATGGCCCTTCTCACTGAGAGTCAGCAGGAGCTGGGAGAGAGCCCTAAGGGACAGTCTCCTTTGAGCTTGGGAGACAGAGTGGCCAACTGTCCCAGTTTTCCCAGGACCACCAGCTTAAACCCTGAAAGCCCCACATCCCAGGGAAGCTCTTAGTCCGGGACAAACCAGGACAGTTGTCTGCCTACAGGAATGCCCACTGTGCTCCCTTTACAATGCTTCTCAAATCTTGCTGTGTATACGAATTGCCCCGGGGGCCTGGTTAAAATGCAGATTGTTTTAGTAGGTTGGGTAGGACTGAGATTGAGATTATGTATTTCTAACAAGCCTACAGCAGTGATGCTGCTGTTCCGTGGTACACAGTTTGAGAGCCCACTTCTCTTCCAGTATAAACCAGAGGAAATCCTGAAGAAATAAAATGTTAGGTTTAGGCGTGATGGGCTCAAGAAGAGGCCATTCTTTGTGGGGAGGGGTGAATGGATTAGGTGTGAGCCCCCTGCCTCAGCCCTCTTTGTTTCTGTCCCTTAGAAGGACTTGGACCTCTACCAGCTGCCCCCGTCATTGCTCCGGAAACTCTATGACAGCCGCTCAGTCTCTCTGGATGGATTGCTCAAAATGCTGAGCAAGGCTAGCGTGGGTAGGAAACAGCCCTGGGGAGAGGGTGGTGGGGGGCAAGATTCTGACCATTAAATAGGCTTGGGAGGAGCCTTTAGGTGGGATGGAGACTGGAGGTGGCTTGGTGTATACTTGAGGGTTGTGATCTGAATCCCCTCTGTCACTTTCCATTCCCCAGTTACACATTGTCCTTGCTTTCACAGATCCTAAGGAATTGCCACTTCCCCAGAAACGTGAGTATCCTCTTCTCCCTCCCTGTCTCTGCTGACCGCTTGCTAGAGTTCCATGGGCATGGGGCCCAGTGACTATTCTGGCTGCCCCATCTCAGCTGGCCCAAACAATATGCCAGCTGCAACAGCTCAGCTAGCCTTTCCTGGATGTGAGAGGTCTCTGGGAACCAGTAGGAAGCAGGTGTGAGGAGTGTGGTGGACTCCCCCTCCATCAGCGGGTCATTGGGAACCAAGAGGATCTCTTGGTGGCTGTGAAGATTCTAAGCCAGGCACCTGTGGGGGCAGAGAATTCTTGAAATATGGAGGAGGGAGAAGTGGGTAGAGAGGATGAGCTTTGGGGATAGGCTGCTAACTTGGGGGACAAGCTGTGGCATGTTAAAGAACCAAAGAACAGAAACCCAATTTCAGAAGTCTTGACACATCTCCCTCTGCCCCCACTGCCCATTATCACCGTTGGCGATGTTGGTCCTTTTTCTACAGGTGACATGCACGACTTCTTTGTGGGACTTATGGGCAAGAGGAACAACCAGCCAGGTAGGAGTATGTGGCGATACAATGGGAGGGTTTTGGGTACTAGCAAAGATATGGCAGAGGTCAAGTGTCTCATCTCTCTCACCAGAGGGTAAGACAGGACTTTTCTTAGTTATAGTGAGTATTCCTTGGCCCTTCTATCCAATTGGGTTGGATCCATAGTCCAACTCTCCCTAGGAGCACAATGGGGAGACCTTTATAAGATAGTGCTGCTGCGCTTGGAAGGAGTTGGGGGCCCCTGCTTCCTCCCTATCTCCCAAACACAATGTGCTTCTTGTTCCCGACTCTGTCTTCCAATGCTGGCTTTCATGGCTAGCCCTTCGCTGTTGGGTCAGGGTGAAGGTCACATTCAGAAACATCTCTCTTAACCACACTGTTTACTTTTCCCCAGACACTTCTATTGATGTAAACCAAGAGACTGTCTCCAGCTTTGGCACCCTGAAGTATCCCCCCAGTGTGGAGTGAGGTAAGAATTGTTGGTTAGGAGAGGAGAGGAGACTGTAAGGGGTGGAGAGTGGGAGACGGGATTGCCAGAGAGGCATTTCCTCTGATGCTACAGGCATTAATACTCATATATCTGCCCTAAAATATACTGCCAGTGCCCAGCACACCGTTGGTCAAACACACCATCACTTAGAGGTGCATATTATCTGCAAGAAAATGCACACTCACATGCACACACGTGCACAAGCATACACCCCGCTTTCCCTCTCCTTCTCCTGTATCATGGACCCTGGCTGACTCATCAGCAGGCATTAGTGGTGGGGAATGGGGAGAGAGGAGCTTCCTCTGTGGCTTCTCTGAAGGATAACTTCTGCTGTTTGGAATCCATTCTCTCATTATCTATGTATAAGACGAAGAGACCATCATCTGATAATTACAGGTACATCCAATTTGTATGTAAAGTGTTCTACATCCGAGGCGGGCTAAAACTTTTCACCTCATTCAGAATCTCCAGTGACTGGGTCGAGCGTGTGGTTCTTCACAAGGGTGATTTAGGAAGAAATGCAAGAAACTCTGAAATTTAATAGGGTGTAACTAGCTTGGTTGCTTTGTGTAGCAAAATGGACAAGAGCATAGCCTGAGTTTGAATCCTGTATCTGCAGCTCGCTGGCTGTGTCTCTTTGGCCAAGTTATATAACCCTTCTCTGCCTCTGTTTCCTCATCTGAAAAATGGGGGTGATATTATTTTGCAGGGTTGTGGTTTTGAGGATTGAACATAGGTAAATTCTTCAGAACAGTACGTGGCACATAGTGCCTAGTGCTGTGTGTTGGCTGTGTTATGATTACTGTCGTCTGAGAGGTATGAGTAATGTCCCAGTGTCCCCCCTGGCTGGCTCTGGTCTGTCTGCCTAGAGCTGACTGGGCTGGACCCTGGGCTTGAGTGGGCTGACAGAACTCTTGCTTGGTATTCAAAAATGAGAGTCCCCCAGGGAAGTGTCTAGTCAAAACACAGAAGCTATAGTCTCAGCCTCATCTTCCCCCACACAGCAACGCGGCCCCACTGATGGGCTTCTTTGCATTCTGAAGAAAGAAGTTGTGGGGGGAGAAAAAGAGAGGCATTGGGAAGCGTCTGTGATCACAGAGAGACTCCGCCCCTCTCCCTGTGTCCCTGCTACCCACAGTCATTTGTCTCAGGGGAGACCAGAGGAGCAAGAGCTCTCGATGAAACTGCCTGTGCATAGCTTCGTGGGCCCGGAGACTAGGTCTAGCCCCCCATTCAGTGTTGGGTGAGAGGGCACAAAGAGCCGTAATAACCGTAACTCGCTGATTACATGGTACTTACCGTATCATTTTGCTCTCATTAGACGGTTATTTCAGTCCTGCCGACCGCCAGATAATTATACGGGCAGCTATATCTGGATGACATAGTCTCCCTCAGCGTTATGCATCGGCCATAAAGATAATTACAGTGCAATTTTGCCATAGTATTTTATACAAATGGTGGAAACAAGTGCATTGTGGAAATCTACTTTTAATGCTTGCTGGTGAATCTAGGCTCTTTCAGAGGGACCAGTCGCATAATTACAGCCTTCATAATGTCACCACTGATGGAGCATTCTCAACCTGTTAGGTGCCAGAAAGAATAGCACATAAAGTCCCTGGCGGCTGGCATTTAAAGGAGATTAGATGAGATGGATCAACACAGATCATTGTGTCAGCTGATTTCATTCGTGTGAAACTGCTAACAAAGGAAGTGATCCCTGGGCCTCTTCTTCCTCTGGGAGGTTTTCTGGAAAGAGGAGGAGGGACTAGCTGAGACTGGGGAAGCATTAGCACCCAGGCACATTGAATGGGGCTATGTGTGTGCCTGCCTTGCTCATGGGGATGTGAGGATGATATGCTGAGCATGGACCCTGCTTAAGATTCTCCCTCTCCCTTTGCCCCTCTCCTTCTCTTAAAAAATAAATAAATAAAATAAATAGCATGGTAAACTTGCAGCTGGGAAGGAGCAAGCTCCTGTGGCTAAAGGAGTTCAGTCCTCTCGTTCAGAGGCTACAGGGATAGCTGAGGGCTGAGACTTCTGTTCTCTGTTTTCCTCCCTTACATACTCCCCTGCTTCCCTAGCCGGTGGTCGGGGGGAGTTTTACAGGACAGAAGATGTGATTTTATTTTTTCACTCCTCAGCACTCCACTTCTGGACTTATAGGCTGCATCATGAAGACACCTGTCCCCTCTCCCAACCCCCAGCTGCATGTGCTCTAGCTCCCTTTCTCTTCCCCAGCCGTGTAACACTGCTGTGCTTTGACTCCTTCCCCATCCCTCTACCTCACTGTGATGGAGAAACTGCAAAGCGAGCATCCTTAGTCCCAGTGGGCATTGGCTGTAGATCCCCTTGGATAATGTAAGTGTCCTTACACTTAAAAACATGACATCTCTTTCCACTCCTCAACAATAAAGGATTTTCACATATGACCTAGAGTGATGGATTTATTTGGTTGCTACGTGAGTTTTTCTCTTCCTGGACTCTTCAAGCTACATAATACACACATACACATACATGTATGCACACATACATGTATCATTTATAAATGGAAGCATCTTTATTTTGTACACATATCAATTTTCCCAACAGTGCCTTAAGCAGGGCTTCATACAATTAGTATTGGAAGATTTATTTAGTAATTAAAAAATAAATGAAGGACACCTGGGTGGCTCAGTCGATTGAGCATCTGACTTTGGCCCAGGTCATGATCTCATGGTTCATGAGTTCCAGCCCTGCATTGGGCTCACTGCTGTCAGCACAGAGCCTGCTTTGGATCCTCGGTGCCCTGACCCCCTCTCTGCCTCTCTCCTGCTCACTCTCTCTCTCTCAAAAATAAATAAACATTTCAAAAATAATAAATGGATGAATATGGAAGGTGGTTTCTAGCACTCAAAGACTTTCACAGACTTCAGATAAAGGAAAAATATATTCTGGATGACCGTGTCTGTGTTTGTAGGATAAGCCTAGGAGACATCAGTCCTTGAATCTGACTCTACTTAGAGAAGGGCAGGGAGGTCAAGGCTGTGTAAGGACCCAGCCACAGAGGAGGATGAATCTATTGAACTGTACTGTATTTCTGTCTCCAAATGTCGAGCATGGGTCCTGTAATGGTGAGCTATACACATTGTTTACACTGTAGCAGGGTGGTGGACAGGCCAACAACACTTGGTTTTGCCAGGATGGGGTGTGGATGGGGAAGTTACTACAGAGGCCGAGAAAGAAGGGAGCGATATCTTCAGTGTCAGCTGGCCTTTTCAGTTATTATAAATGGAAAATACTTGTTTCAGACTCCTCTATACTGCAACTCATACCAGCCCCTGTAGCACTGGTCTAGCAGTCCACAGAGTACGTAAGGGATCCCAAGGGGGTGTTCTGTACCCTAAAGGAATAGTCTGGGAGACCCTCAGGCTCCATATTTTAGACCGGTGCAGGGCCTGGCTGTGTCTCTGAACTGCCCTGATACAACATCAACACTCCATTCTCCCAAGGCTGTGTGGAGACAGGGCCATGGAGCCAGAGGTTACTTCTTACAGTTTCTTCACCCCAGTGGAAGTTCTCTCTTCCCAGAACCTGAATGGGGCAACTTTGGACCTACAGCTGAACAGTGTGGGTGGGGGAGGAGAGAAAGCTCAACTCAGTATCCCTTAGGTCAGGTTTATTGCTAGAGGTCAAAGAATGTTCTTACCCCAGAGCCTCAAGCCTTTCTTCAGTGAGTCATCATGTTGGCTTCTCAAAATAACCTAACTAGAGGGTTTTTAAGCAGAGTAACTTTTGCAGAATCTGGGGAATTTATTTGGGTCATGAAAGCTTGAAGAGTTGTTTCTGCTCAGACTTGGGAGATGGGCGTGTGTGCTGAGATGACACAAATGCTTTCCCAAGTAGGAGCATAAATGCAGAAAGGTTGCTCTCTGGTGGGGCTGACAAAAATTGCAGTCCTTGGGATTCCAGTAAAAATGAAGCCAACTTTTAAGTCAGATTGCTGTTTTTGTACTTGGAGAACTAGTGTGAAGGAATACTGGCCCTCCTCTTCCTGTTGCTAAGAGATTGGTGCCTAAGGAGAACTGGCCAATAAGACCTTGACTGGGTTTCTGGCCCTTCTCCACTTAGCTGTGTGTGTGTGTGTGTGTGTGTGTGTGTGTTACTGGGATTGCATGGTGATTTACTTTACAAAGACTTTAGTCTTAAAGGTTCTGGACTAATTCCAACGTGGCTAGAGGAGTGGTTTCACCACACTAACAAGTATTGCTCTGACACTGTCTACCCAGAGGTAATATCAGATTCCACAAGTTAAGAGCTCAGTCCTATGAGACTGCCCCTCGGTTGAGATGCCATCTCATGTCCAGTTCGTTACCTGTGTTCTGATCTACAGGCTACAGACTGCAGTTCTCATGATTCCCTCCTGAAGTTTGATTAATTTACTAGAGTGGCTCACAGAACTTGGGAGACTTGTTTATTTACTAAATCACCAGTTTATTATAAAAGGACATAACTCCAGGGGCGCCTGGGTGGCTCAGTTGGTTGAGTGTCTGACTTCGGTTCAGGTCATGGTCTCACGGTTTGTGGGTTTGAGCCCGGCAATGGGCTCTGTGTGGACAGCCAGCTCAGAGCCTGGAGCCTGTTTCAGATTCTGTGTCTCCCTCTCTCTGACCCTGCCCTGCTCACACTGTCTCTCTCTCTCTCTCTCAGAAATAAATAAAAAACAAAACAAAAAACAAACAAACAAAAGAAGGACATAACTCCAGAACAACCAGATAAAAGAAATGCATAGGGCAAGGCATGGGCAAAGGGGCACAGAGCTTCTGCGTTCTCTTTGAGTGCACTACTCCCCTCTCCGGGATCCTACATGTGTTCATCAACCCAGAAAACTCTCTGAACCCCATCTTTTTGAGTTTTTATGGAGGCTTTACTACATAGGTATAATTGAGTAAATCATTGGTCATTGGCAATTAATGCAACCTCCACCCCCATCTTAGGTGATGCCACAAAGCCACTCATTAACATAACATAAGACACTCTTGTAATATTCATCACTTAGGAAATTCCAATGGTTTAGGAGCTCTGCCAGAAATGGGGATGAAGACCAAATACACACACACACACACACACACACACACACACACACATATATTATAAATCACAAAATCACAAGTATAAACAGTATAAGCTTTAATCCACACCTTTAGAGTGTTTTCTTAGCACGTGAAGTACATTTACTGGGGTCAACACTTCCCCAGAGATAGTTAAGGCATTTGGTTAGGAAGCTTGAAGAGACTGAAGACTCTTGCAGCCTAATGTCTCAGAGTCATGCTGGAAGTTTGGAGTCTATCAGTTGCGTGAGGCTCCACTTTAGGGGCACACTCAGTCACTTCGTCCAACTGTGGGGGGTGGGCCTGCCACTGGAAGGTGTATCAACTTCCAAGTGACCCTTTCATGAGAGAGCTAAGTGGGATTGCCTGCCCCCCAAACTACAAGAGAGTCATATGACCGTTTTTGTATCTCCTTGCTAATAAATATTACATGATTGGCATCATTTGGTATAACACTTGCTTTCAGTATAATCTAACACCAATTAGTAGGGTCGTGGAAGAGGGGACACACAGTCTCCCAAATGCATCAAGCTAGCTGACGGTTGCTGAATGGCCAAACTGTCTTAGATCAGTTGACAACATCCAGCGTGTCCTCCTTTTCCCATTCACCCGTGGAGGAATGACTGAACTCTACCCTATGCCTGCCCTGGGGGGTTGTGCCTGGCCACCTTGTATCATCTGGCAGTGGACAGAATGTGATGGGAGAGAGGCTGAAACAGAAGGGTCCAAGAGCGTGAGGGGTTCCTATGTATTGAGGGGGGAGAACAGGATGACCATGACTGCTAATGTCTTTGATGGTAATGGTGGTGGTGGGGAGGGGGCAGGGAGGGCAAGGAGTTTTGGTTTGATGACGATTCTTGGGCAGGGGCATCTTAGGAGAGGATTTGGAGGGTAACTGCCGTGCTAAGGGAGAAGGGGGGAGAAGCAGCACAATTGAGCTCTAGAAACAGCTGGCGATATAAGAGAGGAAAAATAATTTTCCCTCAACCCTTCCAAGCTCTTGGCTGAGACCACCCTATAGTCAAAGACTGATTAACAGGAGAAAAACAAACAGAAGTTGAGTAACCTCAACAGTATACCTACTGTATACATGGAAGATGTGCAGGAAAACAGAGTCACTCCCTCAAATGGCCTAAGCCACCACCTTAAATACCGTCTCCAGCTAAAGACAAAAGAATATATTGGGGGTAAAGAGTCAGTTATGGAGGGTTTCCAGGCCAACCACGGTGAATAAGGATATGGTTGCTAGGCCAATTTAATTCCCTGCCTTCTCCATTGATAAGAGTTTCTGGAGATTTAGTCATTTTCTCTTTCTGGTACAGAGAGGGAGACACCCTTACAAATGGAGATTTCCCTTATAAATGAAATTTCTATTCTGTTTCAGAGCTTCTCCTCTGCCTGCTGTTTCTTAAAAATAATCAGCTTAAAGTAATCCTTATACCAAAAAGGCATATTTGGGGTGACAAATCCTGCTCCCCTTCTGGCTGCAGCAAACAGCCTTGGGCTCCCAAGGTGGAGTGGGATCCTGCGAATGAATTCCTTCCTTTGGCCCCTAGGTGGGACGAGGGGAATTCTCGAATTTTCAGAGGGGGATGTACCAGGGGCCCAGCCCTCAAGTTCATTCACTCAATCGGGCTTTATTAAGCACCAATCATAAGGACCAGGAATTATGTGGTAAGCACTGCGTTAAGTTATTAAGAACGACATTTCCCTGCCTTCAGGAAGCTCTCAGCCTAGTGAGTTTACAGCCTAGCGGGGACATAAATTAATCTAATAATCTTACTTTTTCCCCCTCTTTTTTGCAAAACTACAAAAGTGGAAGTTTTGAGAAGCTTCTGAGGCTAGAAGACGTAGATCAGGGTAAAGGATGAGAGTTGCGTCCGGATAGGGTTTTTCACTTGTCCAGGTCCCAGGGTGAGAACATTTCAGAAAAACCAGGATTGAGGGGGTTGAAAGCTTTCCCGCAGCTGCTAGCACCGCGCGGGGGTGGGAAGTGAGGCCTGGCCAGGGGTCCCCAGGCGCGCGGGACCCGGCGGGCTGCTGGGGCGGGAGGAGTCTTGGGGGCTCCGGCCCCGCCCACCTGGCTCCCGGCCCCGCCGTGGGGGGGCGCTGCCTCCTCCCCGGCGGCTGGGGGCGCTGCGGCCAAGCGGCGGGGGGCGCTGCCTCCTCCGGGACGGCGGGGGGCGCTGCGGGCCGGGCGGCGGGGGCGGCCCGGGCCGGCGCGGCGAGCAGCGCGGCGGATGGAGAGTCTGGCCGCGGCCGGCGGCGCCGCCTCCTCGTCGGGCCGGGCACGGCGGGCCGGGGCCTTTGTGTGAGGCGGC